GTAGGGAGGAGGGAGGGAGGGAGGAAGGGAGGAGGAGAAGAGCCCGGCAGAGACCCCAGAGCTGGGCAAAGCTCCCACCCACGCCCTGGGAGGCGAGAGCAGAGGGAGACGCGTGGGCGGGACAAGCCCGGGCACAAGTTGGATGATTAAAGTAATGGCCCAGTGAGTCAGGGGAGGCTCAATTATGCCGCGTCCGGCTGACGAAAGCCAAACGTTCGTTCCTGGCAAGCGCTGTTAAAAGGCTTCTGGGGGCTGATGAGGGCCAGGCCCAGGCTGCTGTTCTCTGAATAATTGGCGGAGGAGAATGGGTGAGGTGTTTTCAGAGACAAGACAGAAAGAGCGGGCCTCGCGGGCAGCGTCCTGACCCTGGGGCAGGCCAGGAGCTCTCCTTTCCCATCTATAAAACCGGGAAGCAGAGCTGTGAGTCTGTGAGAGCAGTCACTGCTGTGGGCTCAGGGGCCACTCCTGGAGCCTCAGTGACCCCCACACTCAAGCCTGCGGCCACGGCACCTGAGGTTGCCAGTGTGGGAAACAGAAATGTGTCTGTTTCGTTTGATTCCTTTCTTCTTTTATCACAAAATAAATTGAGGGGAGGGGAAGGCCCCCACCCCTCTATCATCCCACCTCAAATACTCCAAATGTCTCTGCTTGTCCCTCAAGGCAAGGTCCTTCCACCCTGGGAGGTGTGGGGACGTAGGATGAAAGCATTCTACATCCCAAACCCAGTGAACCCTACTCTCCAGACACACCTCAATTTAGTTATTATTTCCTTCTCTGGCTACCCCTCCACTCCGACCAGCTCAGGTCTCTCCAGTATCCACAGTCACAGATGTCTCCCCTTCACACCTTCCTCCAGGTAACTTCACTGAACATGTATGACAGCCCTCCCCCACCCACCCCCTTGGCTGGGCCACCCCTGGGTCAGCACAGGGTGGGCAGGTGGCAGTCATCCAGTGACACCCAGTGAGAAGGAGAAAATAAAATCTCAAGTCTGTAATATACAGAGAAATTTCCATTTCTAATTTTCATGGCTCCTAATCTTCCTGCCTTAATATTTAATGGTTCTACAAAGGAGATTGAGCATTACGGGAAGGAAGTGCTATTTAAAGAATGAAAGGATTGTGAAACTCTGGTTCCTTACATTCACCAGATCCTAGGAGAAATCCCAAAGAGGTCAAAGATTTAAATGCAAAGAATGAAACCATAAAATACAGGAAGAAACCCTGGGAAAGCTAGTTTACAATCTTGCGTTTGTGAGCCTTTGAAGTAAGATACAATATCCAAAAGGCACAAAATAAAATCTTGCTAAAGTCTGACACATAAAAGACAAAAGTCTTATCCATGACCAACACAAACACACACACAAACCTCATCAGCAAAGTCAAATGGCCAGTGACAAACTGGGAAAAATACTTGCAACTCACCTACTTCGGATAAAAAGCTAATCTCCCTATAATATAAAATGCCCCTAGAAGTGGATGAGGCCAGAGCAACAATTACAACAAAAGATAAATTGGCAAAACACATAACAGTTCACAGATAAAGAAAATTCATGAGGTTCTTATATTCATTCATGGAAAAAATACCAACCTCCCTCATAAAAATGGCAGATACAATTTCTCATTTACAACACAAGAGAAAATTCTAATGTCCAATAGTGCCCTCTGTTGGTGAGGCTATAAAAAGCAGAACTCTCATGGATTGTGGGGGTTTAATTGTATCTACCCCCACAGAGGCCACAGTTTGGGGCCCAGCAATTCAAATTCTGGGAGTGAATTTTGACCTCTTGCCAGCATGTTTGACTAGAAATGACTAAAGCAGCTCTTGGTCACTCTCAGCCCGCAGCACATCTGCACGCTGTTTTCAGCAGGGGCTGGCCCTGTGTGCTGAGTGCTCTCCCCATTGTTTATGGCAAATGCAGGGGTCACACTCCCATGACAAGGACTGACCCATGAAGATCGTGGCTACCATGAGACCCATTCCAGAGCCCTGTCTCCTTCTGTGAGTCAGGCTGGGTTCCTGGTCAGCAGGCCTTATCACCCACTGGCGGGGGGTCAGAGCAAGCTGCCTCGCATATGACAGCCACCCACACATGGAAAGTGCCAGCATGGTGGCTGACACACCTAATGGCCATGCTTGCCTAGCTGCCATTGGGAGCCCTGGAGGGGCCGTAGCTTACCTGATCTCGGTCACATCTGACTTGTCCAGTTTCTGGAGCTCCAGTTTAGCGGCCTCTAGGATGGGCATGACCTCAGCCAGGGCCATCTCGGCCTCAGCCTTCTCAATGGCGATGATCTTGTTCTGCTCCTCTATCTCCATGGCTTTCTCTTCTGCCAGCTTCTTCTTCTCTTCCGCTGTAGGGGACATGGGGGGTGGGTAAAGTTGCCAGAGTGAACCCCTGCTCTGGAGCCCAAGCAGCGCACAGGCTCAGAGGTAGGTGCAGGCTGCAGAGGCCCCACTGCTTTGGCCTAGTTGGTGGTCCAGGCATCCCAAGCAGGACAGAGTCCTCATGTGCCCAGGCTGCCAGAGCCAGGGGGACTCTGACACCCCCTCCCTGACATGTGTCCCAGCCCGAAGGTGGCTGCCACCTGTCACTCTCTGGCTCCTCACTGTTTTTTGACACTGATGGCAACTGGCACTTCAGCTACAATTGGCTGGTGACAGTCTGGCTCCACTCACAAAAGTGTTGGCAAACTGCCCCCATCCCAGCCATCACCCCAATGTACAGATCACACTTGGGGTTCTTCAGAGGCTGATTACTAATTTGAAGAGTGTCTCCCCCAAAATTCATGTACACCAAGAATGGAGCCTTATTTGGAAGCAGGTCCACGTGGGTGGGATTTGTGTGGGAAGGCATGTCACCTGGCATTGCCCTGCCCAGCTGCTGGCACACTCTGGGGCCCTGTGGCAGGAGCATGGCCCTGCCGTGGCAGCCGAGTGTGGACTTTTGGCCTCCAGGAGGGAGAGCGTTTCTGCTGCTTTGTCACCACACTGGGTGTCATTTGTTTTGGCGACCCCAGGAGATTCATCAGATGTGATCCTGGCTAGGAGGGTGCGGGAGACAGGCTGGAGGTGAGGGAGAAGCTGTGCGTCTGAACCGACTCTTAGTATTCATGCCCTGCTCAGCAGCTCCTGTACACCGTGGGGCCTGCTGAAACCCAGGCTGACTCCCCTCAAATGGGCCCAGAAAGGGGACCAGAAAGGAAGGCACATGGTGCCCAGACTTCTCCCAACAAGGGACTGGCATTGTCTGAGATGTCGGTTGCAAGTCAGCAGGTGCATGTCTGTATGCTGGCAAGGTCCCACCTCGAGGGGGCTTCTTGGGCAGCAACAGAACAAATGCATTGGAGGAGGGTGGCAAGATGACAGTGCAAAGCCACCAGAGCATGAACGTGGGAGAGAAACCACCAGAACGGTCAGCACGCCGGGAAGGCAGGCCAGGGGGTAGCCCACAGAGCATCAACCTGGCCAGAAACGCAGCAGGGGATCTCAGCTACATGATTCTCAAAGTTGAGTCTCACACCTACACACACATACCCCTTCACCCACCACACCACAAACACACACCACATATAACACATGCAGCATACATACCACACACACCACATGCATACCAGATACACAACACACATGCAATATACCCACACACATACCACACACATCACACCACACAAACACCACACACAACACGTGCAACACACTACATGCCACATATACAGTACACATACCACACATGCAATACACACACCTACAAACATACCACACACATCACACCACACAAACACTTCACATACACACACCACACATGCCACACATACCACAGACACCGCACACCACACACACATCACACCATACACACCACAAACCGCACACATCGCAACGACCTTGTCTGTGCCTGACATGATGTTTTAGTTATTGGACAGATGAAAAACAGCTTCTTTCAAGGCCTACAGTGGCCTGCCCTGCTGAGGGACCCGCCCTGGCGGTGCCACTTGCCTATGGAGGTGTTGGTGGAGATCTCCTCCAGCAGGGTCTCACACGCCTTCGACTTCTCAGCCAGCACGATCTTCTGCTCTGCCAGCTTCAGGTTCAGCTCGTCCAGCTGGATGGTGGCCTCCTTCAGTTTGTCCAGCCCGCCCTCCAGGCGCTTGCACTGGGCTGAGGAGAGAGGGCTCTCAGCCCTGCTCTGTGCGCGGGCGGACGGTCTCGCAGCCTCTGGGGCTGGTGCCCCTCGGGCTCATTTTCCTGGGGTCCACAGTGCCTTTCAATGGGTGCCGAGACAACACCCATTAAAAAGGTCACATTTCTGAAAATAGCACTTGACAGACCAACAGCTAGCACCAGGGCATTTTAAAAAACCATTTCCCAGCCCAGCACATTTCAGCCATGGAGTGATCTCTCTAGTGGAAAGCTACAAAATGCTTGACCCAACCAACACTGAAAAATAAAAATGCAAGCGTAAAGCCCAACACACACAGGGGGGTGAACTGCTCTGAATCATAAAATCCAAAACACGGTCTGCCTCCACCCCCCTCGGAACAATGGAGCCAGGGAGCAGATGCTTCAGATGAGCCAGCGAGACTGGCAGGAGCCCCACTCATGGGCGCTAACGGCCTGTCAGCGGCTCGCTCCCCCAGGCCTCACCTATGTTATATTGAGTTTTCTCATCCAGTAATTTTGAATAGGTGTTAATAAAATCGAGGTAATTCTTGGGAGTTACATAATTGCTGCGTCTCAGTTTCTGTAGAAATTGTTGGCTGAATTCACCCACAGATTCATGCACCAACACAAAATGCTCCACCAGGCTTTCTAGATTCTCCGCCGGGATCATCCGGTTATCCCCTAAAGGAGGAAAGAAAATGTCAAGACAGCACAGGGGTGATGGTGCACCCAGATTTATGGCAGATTTATGGGTGACTTTGGACATGTTGCCAGCCTTATAAATATGCATTCAACCAACAAATAAGTAAATAAATAAATAGGCGGAAAGAAGCCGTAATTTTAACCATGTTGTGTCTTTTGGGGGGTAAGGGAACTAAGAGAACAGCTGATGTAATGATGTAAGTTAAGGGCTGCAAACTTCCGTCAGTCCCCGATGACGAATATTTGCAGCTGGGGCATGGACCTGGCAGAACTGAGGAAGGGCCTGTGCCAAGCCCAGCACACCTAGCGTCGTCACAGCGACCAGCAGGTAGAAACAGCCCGGATGCCCTCTCCAAAGGAATAGATGCAGGAAATGGGGGTGGGGTCCACACAGCAGAAGTCTGTCCAACCTCAAGTAAGAAGAAAACCACACACACGTCACAACATAGATACACCCCAAAAACATGCTGGGGGAAGGAAGCCAAGCACCAGAGACTGTGTACTACAGAATCTGCCTTCAGGAAGTATCTAGAAGAAGCAAGTCCATGGAGATGGGAAGTAGGTCACAGTTACCAGGGCCTGGGGAGAGCTGGGGGGAGGCGGCAAGGATCAAGTGTTTGAGGGTGGGAATTTCATCTTTAAAAGATGAAAAATCTCTGGGGGTGGACAGTAGTGGATGAACAACATTGTGAAGTTAACTAATGACGCTAAGGGACCCCTGAAAGTGCAGAGGGGTTTTATATCACCAGGATATCACCACAATAAAAGATGATACGCTGTGTTCTCATTTTTAAGAGAGCAGAGCTGAGCCTCACGGCACAGCCGACCTCTCCTGTCTCCCTGTTGCTCCCCTCAGCGTGGATTTCAGTCAGTCCTCCTGTTCTGTTGCCCCTCTGTCTCTGGCTACTCCTCTCATCCCCCGCACCTCTGATGTAGACCCAAGATCTTCTATGCCATGAATAAATACTTTTTTTAAAAAAGAGGCAGTTATCGGGCCCTCCCTGGTGGTGCAGCGGGTTAAAGCACAGCACTAAGAAGCTTAAGCCACTTCAGCATGAGTTTGATCCCCGCCTGCCTCGGAGGTGACCACATGGCGTGGCAGACCTCTCCTGACCCGCCCGCTGCTCCCCTCAGCAGTGTACTTCATAGATCTGCCTGTTCTGCTCTCCGCTCTGTCTCTGGTGAATCCTCTCACCCTCCACATCTCTGGCCTGTACCCCAGTTCTGTGTGCATAAATAAATAAATCTTAAAAAAAAAATTAAACACTTAAAAAAAGAGCAGTTATCACTGTTGGTGGCTTGCCACTACGGAGCCATGCTCTGGCTATTTCTCGGAGCCAGAGAGCCTGCTCTCTTCCCCGTGGTGGGGAGGATGCCAGTGGGGTTTTGGCACAGAAGGCCCTGCTCTGGGTCAGCTTGTCCAAGGGGAATCTTCCCAAGTCCATTGAAAGGGTGAAGGGTCACCGCCAGGACACGAGCATACCTCACAGGTGGCAAAACACTTTTCCTCAAGAGAGAATATGGTCCAGATGGAAAAAAAGGACTGAAAGGTGACCCCTCCTGATTTGAATTCTACCCAGGATCACAAAGCAAGTCGGGGTGCGGGTGCTTGCGGATTCGCACTGCAGCCAACAGCCATCCAGGGAATATCTACAAAGGGGGGAGGGTCCACACAAAGTCCGTGCAGGGCTGTGTGTGACACCGAGCCACCTGATTCTGAAAGCAAAGGAAGAACTTGCACAAGGGATGGTGAACGTGCTCCGGAGAACGAGAGCGCCTCTGGCCCCAGCTGGGAAAACTGCCACCCGCAGGGCAGAGCTGCACCACCGCCTGCTTCATAAATAAAGCTTTATTGGCACACGCCTGTTCGTTTCCACATTGTCTCCAGCTCTCAGGATGTCGTGGCGGAGTGACGTCAGACACCTTTGGACCCCTGGCCTGCAAATACTCATCATGGGGGACTGAGAGAAGTTTGCCCATCACAGGGAAGAGTCATTCTCTTAGCTCCCTTGCCGCAAGAAAAGGGCATTATGGTTAAAGCTACCACTTCTGTCTGTGAAGGGGACTACTCACTTACTTGTTGAATACATAGTTATAAGGTTGGCAATTTGTACAAGGTCACCGAGGGTCATTTGTCATAAATCTGCTCCAGTAGGTCCAGATAAATGCTGTTTTTCCTTATTTTGAAGATTAGCATCAATAATCGAGCATCTGACATTTTAGAGCACATTTAGTGCTGGCTGCTAGTTTACCAAAGGCCTCAGGGTGTTCTTTGGCTGGGGAATCAGCACTTTTTCTGGAAAGAGCAGGTGGTACTCAGGCTTTGCAGGCTACATCTCTACTACAGTTATTCGATTTGGTGCTTGTAGCATCGAAGCAGGCCTAGAATTTGTGTGAATTATTGTGTTCCAATAAGACCTTACGTAGAAAAATATATATGTAAGCAGTGGGCCACACATCGCCGTGGTTTGCTGACCCTGCTTTCGGTGACACCTAGTCAATTATTATCCTAAATCGTCCTTAGAAGTCGCCTGAAGTCCTTTTGGACTAGAATACAACATAAACCAAAACTCTCTAACTGGACCAAAATGCAAAGTCAGAACCATGTTACACCATGGATGTGACCCCTGTCTCAGCATTCACTCACCTAAGAACGACTTAGCGACTGCCTGCAGGGCCTGGGAAGGCCAGGGCATGAACCAGTCGATGCTGGTGTTATTCACGAGACCTTGAAAAGAGCAGTGGGAGAGATAATCGCTCGTGACCCCAGAATGCTCAAAGACACAGACACCATCTTCAATGTCCAGCAGATGGTCAGGCACCTGGGACGGGCCCAAGAAGAATCCGGACAGAGCAGGGAGACTCAGACCCAGCTTTGTGGACAGGTGGGGCGGAGACAACCCTGCTTGAGGGGAGCTGCTTAGTGCCATCCCTGCCTCATTCAACGTAGCAGCAACACACCCCTCCCCACCCCATCAGCCCGATGTGACAACCCAAAATGTCCTTGGGCGGGGCTTGTCCCAACTGAGAGCCTCTGCTCCAGAGGCAGGCACAGGCCCCTCCATGAGCCCAAGTGGGAAAGGGCAGAGTGAGGCTGCAGGTGCTACAGGCCTAGCGCCGGCAAGACAAGCATCATCTCCGGTGTCTGAGGGACATCCCCACCCACTGGAGGGGCGGGATCACCTGGCACTGCAGGACCCACATGCTGACCTCAGGACAACCTCATGTTTTTCTTTGCTGGAGGAAACCCCAGGCAAGCACCCCAATGCACCCCAATGCAGTGCCCTGGAGAAGGGGGCAGCGGGGCCGGCAGGTTCAGCTCCAGGGCACCTGGAAAGTTTCTGCAGCGGGTCCTCAGGACATCCCCTACTGGCGACATGCCCAGTACGATGTGCAGGTTGTTGGCGCTCTTGTTCACAAAGTACTGCCACACAGACTCCTTGGCCGGGCCAATGCCCCGCTTCATGGCCTCCGGACCAACCTGGCTGAGGATGGACTCCTTCTCCTCTTCTGGGAAAAGTGCAGGGACAATGCCTGAGAAACAAAAGGCACACCGGGTGTTGGGGCTCGGGGCTCTTCCTGGCCCTAAAGGGACAGCAGCACCGTGTCCCAGGAAGAGCTGGAGATGACGCATCTGAAGCCCCACCACTGGGGCCCAAAGCCCGCTCGGCCACTGTGTATAGACACCTTTAAGCCTCATCCCCTCATCAGTGAGAAGGGTGACACACGCTTCCTGCTTGCCCGGGCCAGTTATTATGAGCATCTCAGCAGAGCTTGGCGGGGTAGGGGTGGAAGGGGGTAGGGGCAAGGTTTTGCCCCCTTGAGAGACATCTGGCAGTGTCTGGAGACACTGTTGGTTGTGGGGGGCTGGGGAAGAGGAGGAGAGGGTGTTTCTCAGAGCATTTTTGACCTTTGACTCAGTTCCCAAGACTGCAAGAGATGAGAGGACCTGGCTCCTGGTTCCAGCAGCAGAGGTATGGGTCTGCTGGGTGTCCTGGGTGTCCAGGGCCACCCCATGACAAGAACCATCCTGCCCCTCCTGCCACAGTAGAGAGGCCCCACTACCAAGGGCTTGGGCTTGAGAAAAAGCGGCCCCACCACATGAAGCCTATTAAATGCGACCCGGCCCTCCTGCCTTCCCGGCAATGAGCTTGCCGAGGCAGAGGACATGGGGTAGCCTGCACATGCTCGCTGACAAGTTAGGGGCACACCTGCAAACTCCGATGCCAGCACAGAAGGTGGGCAAGAATGGCACAGAGCAGCCTGAGCCGTTGGGGGCCAGAATAGGGAGACAGGAACCCCGATGACTTGGCAGGCAGCTTCTTGAAAGAGGAGTTAGGGGAAAGGATGTCCTGGACGAACTCTACAGGTCCAGGTTCTGTGGACTCCACCCCCACTCCAGACACCGAAACTTCAAATCCCAGCACCACCAAAGGGAGGACTGCCAGGACCCAAGAGCGGCGGCGAGCCATTTTGGGTTTTGGATATAAAACGGGACACATTCGACTGAGAGAAGCACATGGAGCAGAGACATGTGAAGAAACTGCGCTTGCTTCTTCTTGGCCCTGGACTGTTGGAAGCAGACGTGGGTGAGAGACCCGTGGGGAGGTGACTATGGCAGCGTTTATGTTGATTTTGGTTTTGCTCTTTTCCTCCCAGACCTGTCTGCCCATTTCGGACCCTTTTCTATGGGTCCCCGCCAGAAGGTACTTAAGACTCGTGGGGGGCTTTCAGGCCTCACTTAGGGCCAGTCCCTTCTGGTGGACTTTTACCCACGAGGGGACGGGTGACTTTGGGTGTTTGATTCAGAAACTCTGTTCTTTGTCTTTTCTGTATTGCACACAGGTTGTATTAAAGTTCCTTTCCATTAAAGGTCTTATATGTTTATCCTGGTGCGGAGGATCAAGAATCTATTTAGAGCAGGTAGGTTTGGCGGTTCAGGGGTGCCTCTCTCTCCCTGTCCTCTAATAAAGGGAAACTCCATGTGATAGTGGAGTGAAGATATGGAGCAAGGGTGGGACTTGGTGCTGGGCAAGAAAGAGGGGATCTTTGCCTGTGTCCCCTCTTCCTCATCAGATGCCCTCTTTTCCTTTGGAAAATCCTCACCCACCCACTTCAGGTGTGGTTCAGGTGGCCATGACACTACCCCAGGCCTGCCCAATCAGAACCTTGCATTGCCCCTGGCCACAGGGATTGGCTCAAGGATGAGCATGTGACGTGAGTTCTCCCTGCCTATGAAGGCGGGGGCACATTTCTGGGGGAGAAGGCCCAGCGCACCACCTAGCTACAGGCTGGGGCTTCTGAGGCTTTTTTTTTTTTTTTTTTTTTTTCAAAGATTCCTTTGGGATAAGCCAAGAAGGCAAATGGAAGAGAAAAACAGCAAAGCCCAGGGAGGGAAGAGACTATTTCATGAAGCTTATCTCCTGAACACCCAGGCCCAGCCAGCCCTGGTCCTTGCCAGTTTGAGTCCATACTGCCAGTTAGGCAGAGTCCCCTGTCGCTTGCCACCAAGCGACAGATGGAATCAGGGAGAAAGAGGTGCCAGGCATGGATCATGGGCACCACAAAGAGGAGGATGCATGAGTGTGCCTGGCAAATGAGAAGGGGAGCAGGCTGTGCCCAGAAAATCCAGTACTCAGAGATGGTACCATCACTGAAGGAAAAAGGGGTGCAGAGTGTGGACGGTGTGGGAGGCAGGAAGTCAGTAAGGAGAGGTCTGAGAGAAGCCACGGCCACGAAGGATGAGGGTCTGCCCCCAACAGCAAGCAGCAGGTGGGGACGTGACTGGAGCAGACATCATTAAAGTAAATCTGGATTTGCCCTCTCTGAAACTGGAGGGCCCTCTCTGGTGGTGCAAGGGGTTAAAGTGCAGCACCGTGAAGCTATCTTCAGCCACTGCAGCATCAGCTCAAACCATGTGGGAGCTGACCCACATGGCGCAGCAGACCTCTCCTGGCCTGTCCGCTGCTCCCCCAGCAGTGGATTTCAGTCAGTCTACCCGTGCTGTTCCCCACTCTGTCTCTGGTGAATCCTCTCACCTCCCTCACCTCTGGCCTGCACCCTAGTTCTTGTATGCATAAATAAACACATCTTTAAAAATAGAAGCTGGAAATAACATGTGCCCCAGGGACACTCCCTCCCCCCCTTGGTCACCAGCCAGAGACTATGAAGCCATCAACTCCAAAGATGCATGCCCTTTCTTTTTTTTAGGTTTCTAAAGTTAAGCAGGGGTGGGAGAGAAAGGAGTGTAATGGATGGTATTGGGGGTCAGGGAAAAAGAGACGATGAGCTCTGGCTTAGAATGTAAAGGAATTATAAGGGAAGGGCTGGGCTTAGGGACAGAGATGAGAGCAGGACTCAGTATGAGAAAGGTTAGGGCCCCACCCTGAGGTGTAGGCCTGGCAGGAGTGGTAGAGGCATTGAGAAACAGCAGGAGTGCCGGGCACAGCCCACAAGGGTGAGCAAGTGGCCAGATTCCAGCTAGTCCAGCTCCTATTTTACTGTGTCCTGACCACTTTGCAAGTTAAAAATAAAAATATCTTTGCGGGCCCTCCCTGGTGGCTCAGCAGGTTAAAGCACAGCACTGAGAAGGTAAAGCCACTTCAGCATGAGTTCGATCCCCGCCCTGGAGGTGACCCACATGGTGCAGCAGACCTCTCCTGACCCGTCCACTGCTCTCCTCAGCTGTGTACTTCGTCTATCTGCCTGTTCTGCTCCCCACTCTGTCTCTAGTGAAGCCTCTCACCGCCCCTGAGCCTCTGGCCTGTACCCCAGTTCTGTATGCATAAATAAATAAATCTTTAAAAAATATATCTTTGTGTTAAGAACCAATGGACTCCTGGGCAAAAGACAGTCACACACCAGACTCAGTCAGCCCTGCTCAGAATAACCTGATAAGGACTCGTCCTTGGCTGGACGAGGGGGTCCCTACCACCATCCGTCAGTAAGAGGGGCTCACAGGCCTCAGCATTCTCCCACAAACAACACAGTTCAAATTGAACACCTGCTCTCCCTCCTGCAGGGGCCTCTCCATGTCTGCACCCCGTGCTGCCAGCAGCCCTACCCAGCGGGCAGCCCTGCCCAGGGGGCTCCCATACCTGAGGTCAGCATGTTGTTGATGAGCTCCAGGAAGCTCTCCTCGGCCACGTGCGCATCGGTGAACAGGAAGATTGTCGACTTGTTCTCAATCCCCAGCTTCAGGTAAAGGTTCTTCAGATCTTCCCGGAAATTGTTCTCAGAGTAGCCCCGGCTCAGGATGATCTCAAACACCTGCCAACACAGTTTCAGGGCCCCTGAGACCAGAGTCCAGAGCCCGGTCCTCAGCTTGGCAGGGGGGATGGTGGGGCACGAGCGGAGACCTAAGCCATTGCTCAGAACATGGGGAAAGGGGACACGCCTGGCATTCTGTGCTGGCACGGTTGGGGGATACAAGGGTGCAGGTGTGGAAAGGGCACCCTCAGTGCGAAAGTCATGAGTTACCTCAGGGCCAGGAGGCAGAGAACAGGGAAGTGAAGCCACGTGCAGACGCCCCAACCTGGGCAAGCCCACAACTAGACAAGGGAGGGAGGATGTGCGATGGAGCTAAAGGAGGAGGCATTGAAAATGTCTAAGTCAAATCATGCTGTTGCACACAAACTGGATAGGAGTGTCAACAAGAGCTGGAGTTTAAGTCACGGCTTCTCAGACAAGTGATTCTCTTGGCTCAGAGGTGGGAGCTTGACTCCTCCGCCTGACTCCTCCATTCCTGACCCCTCCCATCCTCTCACACACTCACACACCCCCATGCCCACACGAGCTCACACGCATGCACGTACACACACAGCCACAGAGATGCCCGCAAGGAGTCACAGTAATGTCCACTGGCACGTGAGGCTTCATACTCCATCACCGGCCCGCACACTGCCGCTATCACACACAGGAATGCATACACTGCACCTACGCCGCCACACTTTCACACAGTGACCTGTCTGCACATTCATGAGCACATATGTGCACACCCACGGCACGCACACTGACAATCACACGCCTGGTCGTACCACTGTGCTTTCAGTCGCACTCCCATGAACTCATGTGCTTGCTTCTGCACACACACAGCCACAGCCTTAATCTCTTGTACACGCTCTCAGCCTCATCACCAACATGCAGTCACACAGACCACGCTGCACAGGTGTCTTTCAGCTGCATGCAAGTTAGTGCAGCCTGTTGAAACCTGCAGACCCGCTTCCTCCTCCATGGTGGGCACCTCCCACTCCCCTCAACGACTCACACTCAGCAAGACCCTGGCCCCAACCACCCTCATCCCAGGACACAGGCTCCTCCTCCTCCTCCCCCTCTGTCCTTCCTGCCCCTCCTCAAAGCCAGGATGCGGAACCAGGGGATACTGAGCCAGAATCGCCAGGACTACGCAATGGAAGAGGCCAGCTTGCCAGAGGGTAAAGTCTGATCTCGTAGCAAAAGGTAGATAGATGTTGAAAAGCAACTACATTTTTATTCCACATTTTATTCAATTTTAAAGATAAACCAAGCACACTAATTTTTTTACTTCCTTAGAAATACTTTGACCGGCTAGTCAGTGTTTGCGAAATGCTGTCAGCGAAAGAAGTAACTTGCTTGCTATGTGGACAGTTCTAACTAGTAAGCATCCAAGTAGGTGGCTCACAAACGGAAAGGACAAGTGTCCAATTCACGTAGAAAGACACTCGAGCTCACTATTTGAAGACAGAAGTGCTCACTTAAGACAAAATATCTTTCCATCGGCAAGAATCAGGGAGTAGCTGAGCCAACAAGCATGTGTCTCAGGACACAGCTAGAAGACAGCGGTCCCCAAGGCCAGTCCTCAGCGTGCACAGATACGGAGGACCACAGGAGACCCTGAGGACAGGTGGACGCAGAGACCCAAGCACTACAGCGACGTCTGGGGAGACAGGGCCAGCAGCGACAGAGACGACACCCCTTCCAGATTCAGTCTCCACCTGGGGAGGCACCAGAGTGGGCATGGCCAGGGGCCCATAGACACTGTCCAAGGTTCTCAGGCACTGGGGGGAAAGGGGCCCTGGCCAGGGTTGGTGGGGGCAGAAAGCACGTGGTACTTGGGAAAGCTCGCAGCAGCTTCTGAAGGGATTAAACACAGACTCAACACCTGGCCCAGCCGGGTCACCCCTGCCGGGCACAGGGACTGGCAGTGATTCTCTGTAGCAGCGTCATTCGCACAAGCCGAAGTGTGGAAAGAGCTGGAATCCCTATCACCCAGTGAACAGGCAGGCGGAAAGGGCCCTGCCATGCTTGTAACCCAGCCATGGTGTGCGAAGGGAAGGCAGCCCCGTGCCACGGCCACGGGATGGAGCGAGAAGGCCAGATGCAGGCGGGGGAAGCCTGCCACAGAGATGGCAGGCTGTCAGTCTACTCAGCAGAAATCCAGAATAGGAACATCCTTAGAGACGGGAAATCCATCCCCGATTCTCAGGGCCAGGGCAGAGGCAAGGGGTCGTAATGGCTGAAGTGTTTAGGATTCTTTTGGGGGTGTCAAAGGTGTCCAAAAGCACAGTGGCAATGGCTGCACCAACTTTAAAGATACCAAAAAAAATCTTTGCAAGGTGCACCATGAGTAGGTGCTTGTGCGTTCTGGCTGTGTGGCTACGGCACAAGCTGTGGGCACACCTGCCCCACACAGGGGCACGGGCACGGTTCGCAGGGTCTTTTGGATTCAACTCTATGAAGACATCGCGCTGTGACCCGTTAGATGGTTTCAGTATTTGCGTGAACTCCCCAGGGGCCGGAATGGGCTTGACAGGCCTAGTCCTGGGAGGCGGAGGACTCACCTCACAGCCAGCGGTGAAGGCAGCCAGCCTGGCGAGGGACTGCTTCCCCGAGCCCCCGACCCCGACCAGCAGGGCATGGCCGCGGTCCAAGCGAATGCTGCGGTGCACGCGGGTCAGGTGCTCCAGGGCGTCATCAAAGAGGACCAGGTTCATTTTCATGTTGCTTTCATTATATTCCTCGAGAATTTCCTGCATGAAGAAAGAAGTTGGAAGGGTCTCTGGATTTTAAAGAAGAGTCCAGTCTCTCCCCCACCTCCTTGGTCCAGGATCCAAGGCAGAGTGGAGAGTTTTCTGGATGCCCACAGTTGTAGACATCATCAAACTGCTTGCATGTGGGGGTGAAGTGTCCCCTCCAACTCCAGGCACCCCCAGGATTCCCGTCTGTTGGTTTGCAGTGGCCGGGAGACTGCACTCACAGACTAAGGAGGGAGAGAGGGTCAGGAAACCAGACGAAAAGCTCCGCTGGCTGACCATTAGCCTGAGCCTCTCTAGCGAACTCAGCGGGGTGAGGGGCACCATCCCACAGTCATTCCCACACACCACTGGGCCTGGGAACTCCCGAACCCACACTCTGAGCCTGGGACAGGGTGCGGCTGTTTCCCAGCCCCCCATCCCGGGCGCCAAGGCAGCCTCAGCACTAGACACGATGCATGCTGGGGTGGGGGCAGTGAGCCCACTCGCACCTGGAACAGAGCCTTAGCTGCCTCGTAGTCCTGGATGTCTTCATAAATTCTAGCTTCCTCTTCTTGCAGTGCCATCCGAAAGTCTCCGAACAAGATCGGGTCCCTCATCACCGCCTCCACGTCACCTGGGAAGTGTTCCGTCACCAGGTGTTCTATGTGGCTTTGTACCTGACAACATTAGACAGCTTAAGGGCCCAGACTCCACAACGCACAAACACGAGATGAGGCTTGTGAGGAGCAAAGCCCGTGTGCTAGGGTTACCCACATTCGATGTTTTTTCTCAGTTGCCGCAAGATACTTGATAACCCATGTTGCTTGACCTGCTGATTCTTGCTGTCAGTGCCTACTTTTTTCCAACTCCTGACTTAGGGGAGCTAACCCTAGGACGGGGGTGCATGTTCACCTGTCTGTTCCCCCACTCTGAGCACTGACCAGCTGCTTGTCTGTTTCGTTGATCAAGCGGTCGTGGAAGACTCTCAGACACTCGTTCCTCCAGACCCTCACCATCTGGGTCACTGTTTGGAACCTGTGAGCAGAAGTGAGAATAGCCATGAAGGCATTTAGAAGAGGGGTCGGTGTTATTTTCAGACAACGCCCAAGATGCAGAGAAGGACATTTCTGTCATCCTTTACCCCCAGCTGCATGTTCATGAAATGAATCACCTGATGAATGAGCACAGGTGTTAAGAGCAAAGATGATCATAAAGGCTCACACATAACTTTCCCTACTGCTGCCACCTACAGATGACACAATGACATAAGTCAGTACCTGAACCTCCCTTGCTCCTACTTGCTAGAATAGATGAATTTAAACCAGCCACTGGCAGCATCTTTTCCTAAAAACCTGCTCCTTCTGGCTACAATTCTGGAATATTCTCTGGTTTCTGGCCAAGGATCCTAGCTCCATCCAAAATACCTAGAGCTGCCTTTCCTGACTTTCCACGCCATACCCTTCGAGGCACCCGAGAATAGAGCTGGGTACGTGAGAACAGGGCTGGGTACATGAAAAGTCCTTTATTCACTCATTTGTCAGTCTGAGGATCCTTAGTTCACAAGATCATGCTACCTGTGTAAATACTAGTATAAATACCCAAGTCTTACCTCAAAGAGGAAGCTTCTTTGCCCAGACCTCAATCCCTCTGTTTTATGTGCTCACGCTCCCAGGGACACACACAGCTGAACCGTCTCCTTTAGCCCCCCACAGGCAGAACAACTGGGCTGTGAACTGACGTCTCCACGCAGGCACCCCGGACTTCAGAAGCGAGAGCAGAGAGCAGCAGAGCAGCCCGGGGGGTTCACACACCTGCCCGTACATCCTTATGCCACCTATCTTTCAACGCCAGGACTTACAAGCCACCGGCATTCAGCCAAACACTCTTTTCTTCATTGAACAGACACCAAAAGACTTTGGATAAACAATTGATATGTCGATTCATCAAATTCACTCATACATCCTCTGTCTTAGAAGAATTTAAAAAAAGAAAAAGACCAAACCAAGGTCCCGGGGAAGCACATCATACATAGTGAGCCAGGACCATCTCACCGCTCCGGGTTAGTGAGGACAAGGCCGTTGAACACCCGCGAGAGGTCCCGAAGGTTGAAGATATAGTGGAACTTGGATGGGGTGGGAGGCAGCTCCTGCACGATGCTTTTGTAAAGGGCCAGCGTGCAGGAGGTCAGCTTGTTGGTCACGGCCACGATGCTCTCATGAAACACCTGGAAGTGAAAGGGCCCCAGGTGTCTGTCAGCGGATGACAGATCAGCTGGCGGGGGTCGGGGGGGGGGACAGCCATGAGGAGGAGCATGGCCCTGAGGCTCGCTCCACGCGGGCACCAAGTGCCAGCAGCCAGGCGCCACAGCTGCTGCTGTCCGAGCGTGTTCATGTGAAATGTTCAAATGAGGCAAACTCAGAGACAAAAGGCACATTGGAGGCTGCCAGGGCCGGGCGGGTAGACAGAGTTACTGCTGGGTGGTGACTAGACAGGCAGTGGTCTCACAACACGTTAAACATACTAACAGCTGCCCAGCAGAAATTTTACCATGAAATGACAAGACCAGAGAAACTCAGTGTCCCACTACTCTGGTTCCTTAGGTTTCCACACTCATTGACAAGCCCGCAGGCCGGCTCTCAGTTTGAGTTTTGTTTGATGGGCGTGGAGCCCCCAGTTCTGAAAGCCAGTGGCCTACGGTGGCATGTGGACCCATCAGGAGCCCACACTCCTACCCACAGCAGCTGGCCATAGCACACCTTGGCCTTGGCGGCCTTGTGCCTGACGTGTGCAAGGCCAGGCTCAGGAGGTCTTCACTTCAACGAACGCCTCCGTTTGTGATGCCAACTACAACATCGTAATAACCGCAGCAGCTGGAGCGAGGATCTGCTGCGTGCTGGGAAGGGCGCCTCATGCTCTACCCGTGGCCCCTTAACCCAGTGGGCTCACAGTATCAACCAGTTGGGTTATATTCTTCTTGGTTTCTCTTCTGGGATTGAAAGGAATTGGAATGCCCTTGGGGACCACTGAGAGTGCAATGGGCATTCTGTGCCCAGCCCACATTCATGCCAGCACCAGGCCTTCCCGCCTTGATTACCAATGAAAGCCAAGTTACCGAGGTGTGGCCTTTCAGGATGGAGAAGTAAATTAAATGCAGAGACTCCTCGGAAGGAAACAGAACATTGAAGACGCTGAATAGTGACATGAATCTAGGATCCACTTCATTGCGGCCGCCTCCAGCTTTTCCCATCGCAGCAATAAAGCCAAGGTCGCGGATGTTTTTGCAGTTCAGCTCCTTCCCACGGTCATACAAGAAGCCTTTCTCTAGCAGCAGTTTCAGCAAGGCAATTGGCTGCTGTGTGCCATATTCATCCACCTCGAATTAGTTTTAAGGAAAGAGAGAACATAGCGGTGTAAAGCAGAACCTCTGCAGCGTCTGCGGTCATCTGCACTCTTTCTGACGCCTCTTACTCTCAGAGCATTTTGGTCGAGAGGCACAGGGCTTCTCTAAGTTTGCAATTATAAAATCATTTATCATATTTTTTGTAACCAGGCTTATGGGTCATTGTTTTTCAAGACTTATTTATTTGTGCATAAGGAACTGGGGTACAGGACAGAGGTGCAGGGGCAGTGAGAGGATTCACCAGAGACAGAGTGGGGAGCAGCACAGGCTGATCGACGAAGTACACTGTTCAGGGGAGCAGCAGACCAGTCAGGAGAGGTCTGCCGAGCCATGTGGGTCACCTCCAGGGCCAGGGATTGAACTCACACTGAAGCAGCTGAAGCTAGCTTGCAGTGCTATGTCCTAACCCATTGTGCCACCAAGGAGGGCCCATTTATCATATGTTTAAAAGTCTGTCTTCCTCACTGGACTGTAAGCTCCATGAAGGCAGGGACAATACAGGTATTTCATTCGTTACTGCATGGGATGTACTCAAAAATATACATGTGGGGGGCTCCCTGGTCTAGGGGTTAAGTCTCAGTGCTATCACCACTGTGGCCTGAGTTCAATTCCTGGCCAGGGAGCCAGCCCACATGGTGCAGCAGACCTCTCCTGCCTCGTATACATAAGTAAATATTTATTTACTCGTATGCATAATATTTATTTACTCATATGTATAAGTAAATGCATACTTGTGTGCATAAGCAAATAAATCTTTTATACATATATATGAGTGTATTTTTTTTAACTGGGTGGGTGGACAGATAAATGGATGGACAGGTGGGTGGGAGGATGATGGATGGGAGGATGGCTGCTGTCTTTGCATACTGTACATTTAGAGACTAGATTTTCAGAAATCAAAAATGGCTTTTGGAAATGAAACAAATTGAAACTCCAGTATCAGAAGACTGCTCCTCTCAGGCTTTGACCTGAGCATGCTAAGTTTCCTCTTCCTTGTAAATCCAGAAGAACTTTTGGGGTGTGTATATGAGTCCCATATACAAAGAACTGAGAGCAGAACTCTTATCAAAAGCACAGCTCGTTCAGAAATGACTCAGCTCCAACAGTCTGAGCTCTCCGTCAAGAAACTGGGGAGCACAGCCCGAGAGGGAATGTCCCAGCACGCAGCCCTAGCCACAGCCCGCAGGGGCTATGCCCAGTCAGTCCATGCTGGCTTCTCACACTCGCAGGCTCCACACCCACACGGCGGCCACGTGGCCACAGCGCTCACCAGCCCCCTCGCAAAGAGCGCCCCCACCTTTGGCATGTTCAAGTCATCCATGAACACCAGGAGGCGCTTCCCCATAGGCGGCCCATACATGTCCTTGGTTCGCTTTTCCACGTTTGCTTCCAGATTTCTTTGGATGTCCATGGACGTGGTGCGGGAGGAGAAATTGACCACCAGCACCATCTGCAACAGAGGAGACCGTTCCAGGTGGCGGCTTGGCTCTGCAGAACGGCGAGCGTGAGCCCGTGCACGCCCAGCTTCTCGAATACAGACAAGCTCCTGAACTGGCTTGTCTGTACCCTGGTGTGAGCATCCACGGGTATTTTCTAAGTACTAAAGCAAGAATTCGTTCTTTCTGGTAGGTTATATGAGGCAGTGACAGGTGACACCTGTGAGCCTTAGGGGCAAAGTGGACTGGAGGGCGGGGGGCTGGTCTGCACCATGTTAGGGAAGGGACCTCCAAAAAGCCATTTCACCTCTCAGAGCCCCATTTTTCTCACCTGGAGCCCTGAGGAGTAGCTTCCAGACAGCTCCCAATCATTCTCCCCTCCCCCACACACACCACACTGGGTGGTTCCCAGCAGCAGTGGGCAGAAGAGACAGCCTGTGGTTTCCTCAGGTCTCAGAGGCATGGGAGCATCTGCTTTGCCATCTGTCCCAGACGCTCACTCGGAGGGACTGCTGCTGTGTTCGGAGGGCACTCAGCAGCCCTTGAGGGGGCGCAGGGGCCTGCGATCTTGGAAGAGCTTCCTTTAGCCTCGGGCATGTTTTCAAGTGAGGACAGGCCCAGTAACCTTCCGGGCAGCCATCTATAGCTCTGGCCAGAAGCACCGCCCGAGCTGCTGCCACAGCCCTGACCAGCAGAACCAGCGTGGAGCCAAGGCGAGCTGCATCAGTGGCTGTGTCGAGCAACTCAGCACACAGCTGGACAGGCACGGGCTCAGCCCAGGGACACCTCCGAGAAACTTGCAGTTAGGTGGTTTAGTCATTGTGCAAACGTCCTGGAGTGGGAGACGCAAGCCTACAGGTACCCCTTAATGCAACTGGGCTGCATGGTACAGCCCCTGGGTACCACTGTCCTATGTCTGGCCCTCACTGACCAAAGTGCTACAAAGTGGCCCATGATAGTGGATAATGAACAGCAAGAGGAACTCACATTAGTCTCTTCATTGAGATTTTTGAGGAAGTTCTGGGTCGTGGCTGTCTTGGAAGTGCCAGATTCACCAACCAAAATGACAGGCTGCTTGATCTTCACCATCTGCTCCAAGATCCAGGTGGTGCAGGTGGTGTCCACTGTGTGAACTGAGGGACAGGCAAAGAGAGGGGCATCACGGGAATAATGCCAGGGGGAGACGCAACAGGAGGAGCCCCTGACGTGGCCTGAGATGTGGACAAGGCCTTCTGAGGGGCCCTCCCACCTGGCCCTCGCTGGGACCGCTTCATGGGATCACACCCCACAAAGCCCACCCACAGGGAGGGCAAGGAGTCTGCCACAGGCCCGTGGCCATGGGGCCCTGCCAGACGGAAGACCCAGCTGACTCTGACACCCAGTCCCGCCTGAGACCAGCAGCCCAGCTTCCCCGCTGCCCACGCCAGCCCCCATCTGCAGGATTCCCTGGCCAATGGCCCCTCTGAGGAGAGGGTAAAGCCACAAAGTCTGGCTCCCCCCATGTTCCCCTCTGCTGCTAGCTTTGAATCCTGACTGGCTCCTCGGAAAATGGATATGTTGAGTCACTCCATGAGGACCCAATCAGACCTGTGTGAGAAAATCATCCAGCCTCTGTGCCAGAGGAGTGTTTGGAACATGAATTACCACAGAGACAGCTCCTCACAGTCTCACCAGAATCTCACCAGAGACGTCTCACCACAGAGACACCTGTGGCCTATGGTACCTCAAGGTACCTCAATGTGGTCCTAAAACAGTGATTTACGTGTTCCTTCCAGCACCCCAGCAGCCCTGGGAGCCCACGGGCTCATGAGGGAGCACAGGGCAGTGCCCACTACCCCCCACCCTGTCAGGTCACCTGCCTGTGGATAGAGCTGAATCGCCTGGTGCCAGCAGCACACGAAGAGAATCCAAGTGCCCCACCCCTCTTGGCAAGGCCCACAGCTTTCACTCCTCACCTCTGGAGAGGGGCTCGAGAGGACCATGGAAGCCTCGGGTCATTTCACTTCCTTGTGGAATGAGAAATGCCTGCTCTTAAGCCAGGGGGGAGGGGCTGGCTCTCACTCACCCAGGATGTCAATGAATTTCCTCTCAGCATCGTGGACATACTCAGGAACCAGTTTATTCCACGGGATCCACTTCTTCTGTGTCAAATCGAAGTGAAAGTCATATAGGCTGGGAAGGTGGCCTGCAGGGAACAAGCCTCTTTTTGGGTCCACCACAGGTGTGGAAACACCCCGTCCATTCTGGCCCTCGCTGGATGGCCCAGAGCAGTGTGGCCAAGTCCTCAGAAGGGCACTTCTCGTCCACTAGACAGGAGTCCCAAGTCTGAGGGACAGGCCACTGGCTTATGGCCAGGGGTATACTGAGCATCAGAACAAACACTGCCCACCTCGCCAGTGACCTCCCAGCCCTTCTCAGGAGCACAATGCGAGGAGACAGAGCCTAAAGGCCTCAATTGCTTTCTGACCCTAAAAGCATAGAAGAAAAAGAAACCTCTCTGAACTTTTTCTGAGACTCATTTTTACATACTCACATATCTGGGGCACACCCACACCCTGAGGCCTGCGGGCATCCAGAACCCAGGAGCAGAGGGACCCACAAGCAGAGACTGAAAACTCCAGGACCTAGAGAAAGTCTCTTCTTGTTTTGTGTGCAGAGGGCCCTGGGGCTCACCCAGCCCTCAGCTGAGCCCGCACTGCATCGTACAAACCTTTTCAGCCAATAGAATTTAACGCCTTTGGTCTCAACCCTAACCCTGGCCCTTCAAACTACATAACCTCATTTCCTTTAACAGGGGAGATGACTTCTCCAGGCTGGAGACCACCATGACCCAAATTCCAGTCTCTGGTCAACCCCTGCTCTCCTGGCCTCTCCTGTTTGGCTTGCAGTGACCGGTGGCAGGCCTTGGGCTGGGCAGCAGTAAGACCAAAGGACCTGAGCTTACTGGGGTGGTGGGTCAAGGGGGGCCAGACAGAGGCCAGTGAACAGAAAGCCCAATGTGGAGCGCTAAGTTCTGTAATGGGCAAAATTCAGGGGCCACATGCATCCCAAGACGGAATCTAAACAAAATGGGCTTCAGGTCGCTGGGGGAACCTCAGTCCTTCCCACTGTCAACATTAGTGACCTTGCCTAAAGAGAACGGGGGCCACTGGGAGGCGGCAGAAGAAGCAGAAAGCGTGAGGGGGGCCAGGAGGCAACGGGACAGAAGGTAGAAGAGCACGGAGTGGGCAGGTGGGATGGAGCCTACAGGGTGGCAGCCATGCCAGGAGAAGCAGGGGGGAGGGGGTTATGGGGGCAGGCTGGGGGTGCCTTTTAAAGTGCCTGCTCTCTACCTCACAGGCACTGGGAGTCGCTGCAGTTAACCCTTCAGTGGCAGGCATGGTCAGATTTGCAGTAGTCAAAGATCAAGATGGCTGCAGTGGGGGAACGGATTTGTGGGAGGCCAGAGCAGAGAGGGAGATCTGTGAGGCTCCCACCTGGTCCAGGGCAGAAGCCATAGGATCAGGGAACATGGGCAAGTGGTGCTTTAAGAGAACGGGGGTGGGGGGGGGAGGTAGGGTTGACAGGTGTGAAGTGAGGAGCCAGGGAGGGAAGAAAGTGTCAAGATCGCTGATATGGAGGGAGAAAGGAAAAAGATGACATAGAAGACAAGTCATAGGGAGGAGGGAAGGAATACAGACAGCTGGATGGATGCAGGGACAGACAGACATGAATGGGTAGATAGAAGACAGAAAGAGATGGACAGACGGACAGATGGACAGATGGACAGATAGTAGAGAAGGATTCAAACATAACTGAGCTCAGGAATCCAGGGAGGACTCTGAGGGAGGAAGACTGGAGGCAAGAAGCTATGGGCCAGTGAGACGTTTCAGTGATGGCATGGAGAGAGGAGGGAAGGCCCAAGTCCATGGCCCATGTAAGGGAGAGCAGTGGTGGGCAGCAGGTGGAGGATGCTGGACTCTGGCAGGCAGGGAGTGGTCAGGCCCGGCCACAGGACAGTGTCGGAGAGTGGGACATAGGGAGAGGGCAAAAAGTAGGGGGAGAGGGTCAGGGCAAAGCTTCTGGGTGAAGAGGAGAAAGCTGTGAAGCCAGGAGCCCAAGGAGGGAGGAGGGGACAGGCCCCAAAATCTGGGGATCAGGTTGGACTTGGCCTGGGGCCCTCCTCCCCTGATGAGGGAAGGAGCAGAGATGGGTGCTCAGTAGGGCATTGCAGATTGACCACTGAGGAGGACAATTCCCAACCCAGGTGTCTGTGTTCCCCTTAGAGGCAAGAAGGGTCATCTGTACAGAGGGAGAGGGCAGGGTGAAGGTTTAGGCTGAAAGGAGGTAAGTGGTGCCTGTGGGGACAGGAAAGAATTCAAGGGCACAGGGCTCAGTGTTGTACAGCCTGGGCAGGAGATAAGAGTTGGGATTCATTGAAGAGACTCAACACAAGGACCATTGGCTAAGGGGGCAGGAGGCGCAGCGAGAGGCTGAGGGGCAGGCCAATGGCACACACAGGATGGGAGGATGGGAAGGACGTTTAAAGGATGGAGGAAGCAGGGGTCTAAGCTGAGGGGGATGTAGAGCTTTGACAAGCAAGGTCCCCAAAGGGGCTAGGCTTTTGCTGGAGTAGTTCATGCATTTGGACATCTAAGGGGACCACCAGGGGCTCTGACGCCCAGAGCTGGGAAGCCATAGGCCACGGCAAACAAGGCCATTTCCTCTAAAACCCAACCAGAGCATTCTGAGCATGGAAACAAGTTACCCTCAGTTCCTACCTGGCAGCTGCCCAGGAACAGCCCAAACCCCTTCTGTATCAGCAGTAGGCAAAGAAGCTATGCGCTTAACACATTCGTCGAACCTCATCCTCCCGTCCTCCAGCAGGACGGCACCCAGAGAGCAGTACAGAGCCTCTAAGAAGTAGCACTCCAGCACGTCGGGGTCCTCTATTTCCCCCTCCAGCAAGGCGTCCAACATCTTGGTCAACTGGGTTACCTTGTTCACAAGAAAATACCTGAGACATCCATACATTCCACTAGACCCCCGCACCTGCCCTCCCCCACCCCAGGACCAGTTCAGCCCCAGCGTGATGGGAACACACGGCCACCTTGCTTGTCATAGGATAGAGCTCAGCCTCTCATCCCAGGGTCGAGTGGGAAGTGCTCTGTCTTCTTTGCTGACCTGACACTTTCTTCCCTTGCAAGCCCAGTGGGTCTATCTTTAGGGAACAATTTTCTTTGCTAATAGTGATTGTTTCCTACCATATTGAGGTCTGTTTGAGGAACGATCATCTTCAGCTTCTCTCCTTGTCTTCCATCCACTATTCCTTCCACTATCACATCAATGAGATAGGGCACATATTTTCCAAAGAGGCTATCCAAAGTATTTACCTCTGCCTATGAAAAAGCAGAATTCCAACACATCGCCAAGGGTTCCTTTATTCAAATGAAAATTGGTGGAAGGTTCTTATTAAGAGGGGGTGAAAAATACCTTCTGATGAAAGATAACTCTGGCAAGTGAGTAAAGCCTGATGATAGTGCCTCAGAGTTCTAGAGATGTTCTTTGTAATACACTAGGATTTCATCTTCCAGTGCTTCATTTCACTGCCCCAGGGTGTACCCCACCACCTGGGGACTTAACAGAAAAGGGGCCAACCATCTTAGACTTCCAGCAACATGGCCCCAGTGCTCCAGCAAACAGCAGGAGGTACCTCTCCCTCTCAAGGAACTGCCGACCACCAGAGTGGAGGGGTTCTCTCTTCCCCAATGATTCTCTCACGTTTCCCTTTCCTGGAATGCTCATATCCTGATTTACAGTTCACCACCTGCCTCTTAGCCCTTCTAGACAGATAGCCGGGCTACCTCCATCCCTTGGAGAAAGTGTTCATGGCCTTCTGGGCCCAGTCTTATCATCTCTGCACCTTTCCATGAAAGCCATTGTTAAAATGATACACGTTCTGGGTAGCCATGCAGTACATCCCATGGTTGAAGTTCAGCTGGAGCCATCTAACCTCTGTTACACTCCAAGTTAGGTCCTTCACACCTGCAGTCATCCAACTGAGCAAAAAGGGAGAGCAGGCACACCCTAAGGCATGTGTCTCAGTAGCTGGGCTTGACTGAACCAGGGGTTATCAACTACAACCCACAAGCCAAATCTGTTCTGCTACCTGTTTTTCTAAATAAAGTTTTATTGGCACATGCTTATGCCCATTAAAGCACTGTGGCTGTTTTTCTGCCATGATGACTGAGTTAAATATTTGCAAAAAAAGAAATCATGATTTGCAAAACACAAAATATTTACTCTTCATAATGGACCAGGCGAGAAAATAACAAAAATAATGAACAACCATATACCAGAGACATTTTGTGGGGGTGGAGTGGGGAGTGGGATCAAAAACGGGGGTGGGGAGGGAAATGCACGGGATTATGGTGATGGCACACGGGTGACTTGGTGATGGGAAACCCGCGGGGATTACAATTGAGATGGACAAAATGATTTAAAAATACACTTTTGTAAAATAAAAAAAAAATATTTACTCTTCAATGTTTATAGAGGAAAAAATGATCAGCTTCTGGTCTAGATTAGCGAAATCATTACCTATCACACCAGCTATGAATTATCTGGACATTTAAAAAGTGTGTCTTCCACATTTTCATCCAATTTATTTATAATTGAGAGCTCTAGGTCATAGGTAGTTCAAGGTCAATGCATAACCCTCAACTGTAAAAATCCCTCTAAGTTATATCTATCTAATTGGCCATTAATACTAATAACTCTAAGTTCATTTTAGAAAGAATTTTTACCTTATTTTGTATTTGATTAACCCATTTTTGCCAGTATGGTTGATATTTCAAATTCTTAGGATCCACATAAACCATTCCACATCGTGAAACAGTTGCAGGGGAGGCATATTGTAAATCTCCAACCTGGAAAAACAAAATAAGTCATGTCAACAGCTATAACCAACTGAACATGTTTAAAAACTTTACAACATTAGAAAGCCCAAATCATTCCCACATTAACACAGCTTTCATGAGGCTTCTAGCCAAATAAACAGGTTTGTAATAGGAAATTTACACATCTCTGATCTACCCCCTCTTTTCTCTTAGTATAAAATTAATATAAAAATTAATATGCTGTGAAATAGAAAAGCATAAAGAAGAAAGTAAATTATCCAAAACTCTACCAAAAAGAAACAAACATTTCTTTGGAATACTTTCCTTTCAGTTTTGTTTTTTTTTTTTTTAAGAGAGCTAAGATAGTATGAAGTTTAGTATGGATGCATCTAAACCAGCAATATTAACACACATGTCTCTTTTTCTATGGAAAAGAAGATCCATTCCATTCAGCCAATAAGGTAACAAAGTACACAAATACTCATGCATCGATGAATTCTGCAGACCAGTTAGTAACAGCATTAACAATTAGCTAGGATGAAAGCAAGTCCCAGGACCACAATAAGGAAATAGGTTGTGAGAATGAGAAGTCCATATTGTAAGCAGGGAATGGAGGTTCCTAGGAAGTTGTCATAAGGAAAAAATGGGGTCCCAACAAAATTCTTGATGCACTAGAAAGTTGGGAGGGGGAGGTTGGGAATGAGGATTAGATAAAGGCAAACAATATGATAGGAAAAAGAAAGCAATTACAAACTCTGAACAAAATAAATGGCCCTAAAAGAAAATGAACAGAATCATGTATAAGAGTTGACTCTATAATGTAAATCCTATTTACAGATTTAACTGACTTAGCAACATAGTGTTCTGAGGAGAGAAGACAGACTATGGGTATAAATGATGAGCCCTAGGTGCTTTTCACAGCAGTCAATAGATAAAATATATACTTGACATAGGAAGAAAGAGCACATGAAGCATGTTACTCATAGATACTGGAGCACCACCAGAAAAAACAGCTCAATAGTGAAAAGCGGTTAACCTCTGGCATAAATTAAAGAGGGTTGAGAGGAATAGGTAAGTCATGCTCATCATCAAACTTTTCTGGTTATTTAGGAGTTTTCAGTAAATTATATTTATTATTTATTTAACAAGCATTCAAAGTTTTAATTTTAAAAAAGTTTTTTGTTTCAACTTGCCTCAAAGAGTAGAGCACAGTGTGCTTGCAGCCGAATGCGCTCACCATTGGCCAATGTCAACAGCTTGTTGTCATCCATCACAGAATTCATGTTTTCCACCCAAAGAGCATCCACATCACCATCAAATAAAATATACCTGCAGTAGCCAAAGAATAGTGAGCCTAAAAGGCTTCCAATGATGGTATTTGGTGTAACCTCCCCACTGGTATTAAGTGTCTTTTCCCAAGGTTTTCTAGCCAGGATCTGAAACAGATCCTACTTGGTCCAAAGGGTTGGAAATTTAAAAAAAAAAAAAAAATTGTTTGGTAGCTACCAACATTGAAGAATCAGGAAACAGCATTAACATTAAACTAGAATGAAAGCAAGTCCCAAGACCATAATAATGAAACAGGCTGTGAGAACAAGAAGTCCATATTGTAAGTAGGGAATGGAGGTTCCACACAAATATCTGGATTGTTTTGCTTTTCTAGCAAAAAGATGTGTCCATCCAAAACCTGTGACTGTGACCCTGTTTGGAAAAAAAGTGATTGCAGATGTATTTAAATTAGGGATTTTGAGATGAGGTCATCATGGATTATCCAGGGGGAAGCCAGCACTCATCCAAAGACTGGTCCCACATGGGGAGAGCCATGTGGAAAGGGAGGCAGAGACCCAAGGGACACGGCCACAAGGCCAGGGGTATCTGAGCCACAGCAGATGGAGGAAGGAAGGAAGGACTTTCCCCTGGTACCTCCAGAGGGAGTACAGGCCTGACTGTCCTTTACTGTTCCTCCCACCAGAGGAATTGTGAGATAATAAATGTCTTGTTTTAAACCACCCAACATCTGCTAATCTGTGACAGCGGCCCCAGGAAACTGAACCACCACAAATGATGTTTGACCTGCTGGGTCCTGGGAGAACCTGAGTCTAAGTGCTGCTTTACGTGCTGTCTGTCCTGGTAGCAGGTCTACTTTGCCTTTGAGAACTCTGGTTTTCAAGCTCCATGACACTTCAATGGTGTGGCTAGAGTGGACTCCACTGCAGCAAAGCCTGTCTCCTAAGGAGGGAGCTAATCCCATTGGATTGGCTAGTGATTGGATAGTGCTGCCATTTAATTCACAGATCCGAAGAGCTGGACAGTTTTTTTCTTTTTCTGCACTGATCCTATGTTTTCTTCCAGTATTTTTTTCTTTTAATTTTTTAAATAATTACAAGCCTATAAAGAATGCAGTATTAAAAGAACTCCCCTCATACCCTTCAACCAGATTCTCCAAATGATCAATTTCTTGCCATGTGTGAGCTCCTGCTCTCCCTGTCTCTTTGGGTCCTTTGAGAGGATGTCATAGACTTCATGCCCTTTGTTTCTAAATACCTAAGATGTATGAGCTAAGAACAAGCACATAAACACAGGGCAATCATCAAGTTCATGGGATGGTGTCGATATCGGTGTCTGGCAGCCCACACCCAGATGTCACTCTCTGTCCCCATTTCATATTCCTGGCTGGAGGCCTAGACTTAGTCTGCCATTGACAGACAACAGAACCATTGGGTGAAGGTTTGACAAGGAAGGAGCTATCTGCGGCTCCCCACCGGCTGTGTTAGCAGCACCGTAGCCAGCTTGTCACGGCTAAAATCAGCAATCGTGGTGCAAACCATGATGGCCTTGGGTGAGATGGGATTCCTGTGACAACACATAGTCTGACTCCAACTCTGAGCAAGCCCCAGACACCCAAACTGCGGGCATTCTGTCCAGTGGCTGACCTAGAGACTTCTAGAACTTCATTGCCATAAAAGATAAAGAAAATATGAAATACTGCTCAAAATTAGAGGCTACCCAAGAAACAGAATAACTGAGCAAGGCAGAGTCTTGGATTGACCCCCCAGTTAGGAGAGAATGTTAAAAGAGGTTGTTCTCTGACTGACCTTGCCAAGCAGGGAGCCTGGCGATGCAGCCAGCCCATATGCAAAGTCCTGGTTAGGGGTGAGTTCCCTGTCTGCCCTAGGCCTCCTTTCCGCCATGGTGAACTGGGGCAGACACAGTGGAGGAGGCTGGGCGCCCCACCAGCCTGCTTATTTGTCAGACTTACCCAGTTAGTGGGGACTGACCCACTACTCTTTCCTACTCACAGTTACTCACTTTCTCTCCTTCTTATCTGTTGGTCTGTTCATCTCCCTGAAGATGTTGGACAGCACCCCATCAGTCCAGTCACGGGTGCTGGGGTCCAGGATGCCGTAGAGTTCTATGACACTCACAGCCTTAGGGTTCAGGATATACAACTTCGTCATCAGCCCGAGCCTAAATCAGAGGAGAGGCTTCACCATCGGTCCAGGTAGAATGCAATCTCCATCTGGGCACCAATGTGTACAGCCAGACATTTGAGATCTGACTCAAAATTTAAGACCAGGTTCATACAAACTCTACACTGGGGTTTCCTCACTCATGGGCAGTGGCTTAGTGCAATGCAAAAGGGGCACATTTCACAGAAGACGTGGCCCCAACACGCAAGGTCTGAACTGAAGGCTTGGCTTTGCCATGAGAAGCCGAGTATCACGTATATTTCATCTTCCCGTGCATTACATATACATGCATATGGTATATTTAGGAAAATATTTCATAATTAGCATATAGGAGATAGCATTGCATTATATTTATTAGTCACCCAGCGTGGTACACAGATCTTCACAGTACTGTCCAGTCCCTCATCGTTACAGGTTATCTACTCTGTGTTGCTGACTTTACATCCTACTAGGATGCTCACAGACTCCCGCATTGGCATAGGATCAGTCTATTCACAGAGAACTAACTGCCATGCAAACCACCATTCATCACTAACATAACAAAAAAAATAGTGGCATCCAGCTACACATGTCTGTGGGTGCTAGTGTGCTAATTATCAAACAATGAGCGAACCTAAGAGTGAGATGGGGTGGCCACAGTGCAGGCCACTTTGAGTCAGAAACAAGAAACAAAAAGAGACTATGACCATCGCTCATTAGAATTTAAAGACCATCTTGGACAGTTAAGGTCATGGGGCTTTTGCAGCTTGCTGTAGTTTGCTGGGATATTAGCATCCATTGACTCTAGTTCTTGCTTAGGAGAGAGGAGGAAGGTCAGAAAACCAGTCTTGGGTAGGTGGGCTTGATGCCATCTACACGGGGAGTGTGGGACCCCTCCTCCCAGGCTACATTCTCCTGTAGGAAGGACATACCTCCCAGTTACTCCAATGATCTAAAGTCCCTGGCTTTCCCTAACGGAGCCATCAGGACACCAAGAAATATGACTTACCAAGTCAGCCTTCAAAATATCTTACAAGAGAGTTTGTGAAATACTCGCCTCACAGACAACCTCAGGATATTCTAAAGCTCAAAGGGTCACAGCTAGACCTTCTAAAATGTTTTATTAAATCAGCAAAGGAACAAGCGAAAGCACACTGATCATAGAAAGTGTTTAACACAGTTGCCCTCCCAGGAAGTCAGAGAACAGGTTGGGGCCAGCTAATATGGTCACCACCTGGATGCCCCCCACCCCTGAGGCCACACTCACTTGGTCTGGGCCTGGCACAGCGTGTTGATGACCACAGACTTGCCCCCTCCCGTAGGCCCCACCACCATCGTCGTGTGGCGGGTCAGCATGGTCTCGAACATCTGGACCACCTTGTCCACCTATGGGACGAATGCCAGCAGCTTTATGGAGCTGTGATTCCCATGCCCACAACTCACCTACTTGACACATACAACTCAATAATGTTTAATATGTTCAAAAATTGTGACACCAACGACCACATTCTGTTTCTTTCTTTTCCTTTTTTTTTTTTTTTTGTCTTCATCAAGGTAACATTGGTTTACAGCATGCTTGTTGTCCCATATTCCATCTTAAAGCATCTTCACTGCCCTTCCCCTCCCCCCAAAAAAACTCCCATTAGGCATCTTGTCCAAATCCAGAACTCAGCCCTTGACAACCACAGATCCGCTTTTGGATTTGTGGGTTCTCAACATCAAAAGAGAACACCATCAGTGGAAGCCCATCCTTTGTGGCCCTGTGTGTCTGGCTTATTTCACTGAACATCATGTTTTAAGCTTTTCCACGGTGCGAGAGGTGCAGGGCTTCCTTCCTTTGTGTGGCTGCATAATGTCCCACTGGCCGGGACATTATTCTGTTTTGTTTCTTTATTCATTCACTAGTGGGCATTTGGGTTATTTCTACTTTGGGGCTGCTGTGAACATTAATGTACAGGTGTTCTGGGGACACATGCTCTCATTTCTTCTGGATATAAACCTGGGAGTGGAGTGGAGTGGAACTGCTAGCTCAGATGGCAATTCTGTTTACCTTTTTTTTTTTTAGGATTTTTTTTAAAGATTTATTTATTTACTCATATAGAACTGGGATATAGGCCAGAGATGCGGAGGGTTAGAGGATTCGATGTGGAGGGTGAGAGTATTCACCAGAGACAGAGTGGGGAGCAGAACAGCAGATCGACAAAGTACACTGCTGAGGGGAACAGCAGGTGGGTCAGGAGAGGTCTGCACGCCATGTGGATCTCCTCTGGGGCAGGCGGGGATCGAACTCACGCAGAAGTGGCTTAAGCTTCTCAGTGCTGTGCTTTAACCCACTGCGCCACCAGGGAAGGCCCCAATTCTGTTTAACTTTTTAAGGAACTACCAGGCTGTTTTCCAAAGCAGGTGCACCGTGAAACATTCCTCCCATAAAACATCTGCTTTTCAACAACTACCTCTAGAGAAATAGTCAAGGCCAAGAGCAGTGCAGGGGGTTCTTGTCCAGGACCATGCCCACACCCAGGCCAGAGGCTCCTGATGCACCCCCCCCACCCACCCCATGGCTTGAGCAGATGCAGCCACTCCCAGTTTGAAGCTTTGGACAGAACAGTCTGTCAGTGAATTTTGGCTTAATGATAACTTATAGCCCATATGGGCTTCAGATGATCAAAATCTCACCAGTAATAGCTAAATTAATTTGTGTGTGACTTAGAAAAAAATAAGGTGGGGTATAGAGAGAACATTAGATGGCTCAATCCAAAATAAATTGAGGGTCCCAGAGGTGAAAGTGGGAGGTACAAGAGGGGCCCAATAGACACCTATGGAGGATTATAGGGCTTTGTTGGTAAATGTGGGGTGGTGACAAACATTGGAAGAAGTATGACTCTGTATCCCTGAAACATATACAGTAATTAAACGTTACCCCAATAAAAAAATAGTACATTTTTTTAAAAAAATGGAGTGCAGTGTCTCCATACAGTAGAATAGTGTACAGCCTTCAGAAGGAAGAGGATTCTGACATCTGCTACAATAGGATGAGTCTGGAGGCCATGATCTGTGTGAAACAAGCCAGACACAGGAGGACAGATACATATAGGTGATTCCATGTTGATGAGTTCCATAGGAAGTCAAATCCATAAGATAGGAAGTAGAGGATGGGTCCAAGGGCTGGAAAGAAAAGCAGGTGAGTTTGCTGATTGAAGATCATCTCGAGGAGGAGAAGGTGTGTGATGACTTTTCATGTCCCCGAGCCACAGACTTAAACCCAGTTAAGGTGGTGACCTTTTAGGTTACATGTTATATTTTACCACAATTTTTAAAAATTGAGGAAAAATGGCTAAGATGGCATACTCTATGTTATATGTCTTTTACCACACTTTTAAAAAATGAAACAACCAAATGGCCCCGGGAAAAGGCAGAGGGCTCCACTGGGCATAGCTCACCTGGACAGGTAAGACAATGTAGCCGTTCTCCTCCAGCACCTGTTCCACGGCGTCATTGAAGTCCGGGTAGCGTACACGCGGGCAGTCAAGTCCAGGAAACAAATCAGAGATCAGCCCGAGGAAGAGAGGGACATCCTCAAACACGAACTTGGGCAGGTTCATGTCCCGGAGGGCTCTCATCAGCACTACGTCCTGGGTGGAACCGAACACAGAGTCCACAGAGAGCTTTGCCCAGGGGCCAGGGCCAGGAAGGCCTCCCATGAGCAGCCTCGAGAGAGAACGGGAGACCCAGAGCAGACTGAGGTGCCCACATGAGAGAATCATCATGGCTGCTCCTGCTTTCATTCGCAAATAGGGGAAACACCGAGTTCATGCCTAGGCTGTGTTTATCCCCCACCTCTGCCCCACCATCCTGTGGTCAGAGGCTGACTGGAGCATCACATACTTGGGCACAGAGAAGACGTTGAACTCAGCCTTGTGGGAAACAGGTCAAATTCAAGAAAATGCTACAATGAGCAAGAGACCAAGTTAAGGACAGATGATCGCCACCTTCCACATATTCCATCCCTGTGCACCCTGGAGCACCCATGGGACTCAGGGCCAGAGCTTACCTCCTTGAGCTCCGGAGAACCCCTCTTCAGCTCACCAGCCATCACCAACACGGACTTCAGGGCCCGGAGCCCAAAGTCGTAGTGATGCTGCTTGGAGAGCTGCTCCCGGGCTAGCTTATACAGAACCGTCATCTTTTTGGCCAGAGTCTTTTTGAATAAAGAAAAAAAAAGATAATGAAAAAGAAAGAAAATTACTGAAAAGCACCAGAGAATTACTGCTAAGCAAAGACGATGGACCCTTTGCATGAAGCTGCTCTCTCAACAAGCACAGCTCACTCCAACAAAAGGCTGGGAGAATTCTTCCTTGTTAACTAAAACACCAGCCTTTGTAATGGGAGATTCTCTTAAGGACAAACTCAAGAGCAAAATTCAACCAGACCTAGATCACAAGGACCATGCTCCAAAACGATGCTGCCAGGTTATTTGACCAAATCGTGTTCTGAAACCTTCCCCACTAAAGGTTTGTGAGGACTCGTTGGGTGCAGGCTCTACATGGAGGAGTAAAGGCTGCTGGCCCCAGAGCATAGCACGGGGGCCCTGGTCCTGGAAACAAGAACTGAGCCCTCAGCACCAGCCTGAGCTGGACAACAGGAAGGACAGAAAGAATACACTTCTTTTTTTTTATTATAATAGTTTATTTTTACATCATTTTGTGCCTTATTCCATCTCAACTGCAATCCTGATAGACTTCCCATCACCAATTCATCCGTGTGCCATCACCATAGTCCTATACACTTCCCTCCTGCTACTTTTTGATCCCATTCCCCACTCCACCCCCACAAAATGTCTCTGGTATATAGTTGTTCATTATTATTACTATTTTCCCCAGTCCTTTATGTTCCTTATAGGAATAAAACCATCTGTATTTTTCCTTTTCTTTCTGGCTTATTTCACTGAGCATGATCCCTTCCAGCTCCATCCATGTTGCTGCAAAAGACATGTGTATCTTTTTCTTGGTTGCTGAGTAATACTTAATCGTATGTATGTACCACATCTTTTTAATCCATTTTTGTGCATTTGGGCTATTTCCATGTCTTTCCAATTATGAATAAAGCAGCAATAAACATGGGGGTGCAGGTATCTTTTTGAATCAGTTTTTGTGTCTTTTGGGTAGATACCTAGGAGTGGGATTGCTGGGTCGTAGGGAAGCTCCATGTTTAGCAGTTTGAGGACCCCAAACAGTTTTCCATAGTGGTTGTACTAGTTGCATTCCCACCAGCAGTGCAGGTGAGTTCCTTTTTCTCCACATCCTCGCCAACATTTGTTGTTGCTAGTTGTTTTAAGATGTGCCATTCTCACTGGGGTGAGATGGTATCTCATTGTAGTTTTAATTTGCATCTCCCTTATTACAAGTGATGTTGAACATTTTTTCATATGCCTGTTGGCTGTCTTCATATCCTCTTTGGAGAAGTGTCTTCTTAGCTCTTCTGCCCATTTTTGGATGGGGTTGTTCATTTTATTTTTGTTGAGTTTCATCAGTTCGTTGTACATCTTTGTGATTGATCCTTTATCGTTAGTATTGTGTGAGAAACTTTTTCCCCAATCAGTAGGATGTCTGTTTGTTTTTTGTAATATCTCTTTTGCTGTACAGAAGCTCTTTAACTTGATGTAGCCCTGTCTGTTTATCCTTTTCTTCACTATCGTTGTGTTGGGTGCTCTATCTTTAAAGATGTTACTGAGGTGTATGTTGTATAGTGTTTCGCCCATCTTTGCTTCCAGGTATCTTATGGTTTCCATTATTATGGCTAGGTCTTTAATCTACTTCAAGATGGTTTTTGTGTATGGTGCAAGGTAGTGCTCTAGTTTCTTTCTTTTTTTTTTTGCATGTAGCTTCCCAGTTTTCCCAGCACCATTTGTTGAACAAACTTCCTTTGTTCCATTGTATATTCTTTGCTTCTTTGTCAAAGATTAGCTTCTCAAAACCTGTGGGTTTATATCTATGTTTTCTATTCAAATCCACTGGTCTGTGTGTCTGTTCTTGTTCCAGTACCATGCAGTTTTGATTATTATGACTTTGTAGTATACCCTGAGATCTGGGAGTGTGATGCTTCCATTATCTTGCAGAAAGAATACACTTTAAAATGTGCAGAGAAGGGTTCTCCCTGATGGCACAGCAGGTTAAAGCACAGCACTTAGAAGCTAAAGCCACTTCAAGATGAGTTCAATCCCCGCCCTGGAGGTGATACACATGGTGAGGCAGACCTCTCCTGACCCACCCACTGCTCCCCTCAGCAGTATACTTCATCGCTCTTCCTGTTCTGCTCCCCATTCTGTCTCTGGTGAATCCTCTCACCACCCCTGCACCTCTGGCCTGTACCCCAGTTCTGTATGCATTAGTAAATAAATCTTTAAAAAATAATTGCAGGCCCTCCTGTTGGCACAGTGGGTTAAAGCACTGCACTGAGAAGCTAAAGCCACTTCCGCATGAGTTCGATCCCCCGCCCGCCCTGGAGGTGACCACATGGCGCGGCAGACCTCTCCTGACCTGCCCGCTGCTCCCCTCAGCAGTGTACTTCATCGATCTGCCTGTTCTGCTCCCCACTCTGTCTCTGGTGAAGCCTCTCGCCGCCCCTGAGCCTCTGGCCTGTACCCCAGTTCTGTATGTACAAATAAATAAATCTTTTTTAAAAAAAGAAAGATAATATAGGAGTGATGTATCTATGTTCTTGTTGTGTACAGTTACTCTAGACGTGATAAAATGTCACTAAAATACACACACACCACACACATCACACACACACCATACCACACATATACCACACATCATACATATACCACATACACCATGCATAGCACATACACACCACATATATCACACACCACACAGCCCACACACAACACATATCATATACACCACATACCAGAGTGAGTAAGAATATAAAACCTGGTTGAGTCTTCACCTGAGTTACCGGCACCACGTCTGGCTCTGTGCCCTGGTTGGACAACTGTCCTGCAGGCGGGTGAGAGTCACCACAGAAGGAGCTCTGTGCTCCTGTCACCACTTCCTGGGTGCCAGAGCAGCCTCAAGGGGAGTTACCGCTTTAAAGAGAGGGAGCACTAGCAGAGACAAAGCCCAGCGACCAGGGGCAGCCTCAGGAGAGATATCCCCACACCAGTCCGCACACAGGGGTGGACGGGCGGCTCACCTTGGCCCAGAGGAAGCCCTCGGAGAAGAGCATGATCTCGCAGATCTGCTGTAGGTCAGGCACGATCACCACCACAGGCCGGAAGAGGGCCTTCACCGACTCGGGCAGCTCTGTGCGGCCTGCGTAGCCAGGATTCATGGTGATGAAGATGCCCATTCTCGAGTCCAAGGAGATCTCCTGCCCTTCGAACTAGAAGAGGACAATGTGTAGGTGGCTGGGATGAGGGGTGTGGGGGGTAAGCAGCTACACCAGCCCTCCCCAGGGAGATAGAGGCGAGGAGGTGGGTGAGCCTGAGGCCTTCACCTCCACAGGCAATTAGTACTCTGGGTATTGAAAGCAGCTTCCTCATGAGTATTCTGGGGGCAAACTCCGATCTGAGTCAAAGGACTCATGAGAAGTAGCTGATGTTGGAAAAGTCAGCCTGAGGCTGATTCCAAGTGCTGTGCGACTCCCAACAGATCACTTGACCTCTCTGATCCTCAGTTTCCTTCTCTGCAATATTGTGGCCAAAAAGAGACACCGCATGTGTGAAAGCACTCAGCCACAGCCAGTGCTTCACACAAAGCAGTTTCCATTCCTATCTGGCTGCCCGCCTCTCCCTATTTCATCCCCACCACGGCGTGGTGGCCAACATGCCACTTCAGCTTTCTTCCAGAAACCAGTCTTCCAGCTGCCCCCAGACACCAACCAGAAATCTCAGTATTTCAGGTCTCTACCCCAAAACTGAGTTTGCCTGTCTGATCTTTTGTCTTTACTAAGATTTTACTATTCTATTTCCTTCAATATTCCATCAGTCACTCAGAAGACAGTAAAGTTTACTTTTAGGAGACACAGCCTACTGTAGTGACTTTGACAGTAACCCCCAAATCCTGTTTGTTGTAATTATAGAACTTTGCCAGTACAAAGGCAAAGTTTCTTGATCATTGGACAATTTCTGCTGAAGATATTTTGGTTGAGTAGACTATTTTTTAAGTCATTTTTTTCTCATCATTTATTTGAGAATCCTGCCTTACTCATTTATACCACCAGCCTCACGTCTATAATTAGCTTGAAATTCCTAAAATTTACAGTCCTTAATTTTCAAGGATACAGATAATTTTGGGAAATCAACCATCTCAATTTGAAAAGTAAACCCAACCATTCCTCATCTGTAAGAAGCCTGGTCTGGAAAGGCCACCATGTGACATTCAGAGGTGATGCAGAAGTGCGCGCCCTGGGGGCGTGACCCTGTGGCTTCACCCTGCCCACACCTGGAACGTGGTTAATTGATGGATCAAAGCGTTTCGGATGGTCTGGATCTGAGAGGAGATCACGGACAGCACGGAGGCGTCGATCCTATTAAACTCATCAAAGCAGCCCCATGCCCCGCACTGGGCCAGGCCAGAGAAAATCTTCCCAACAGCCTGGAATGAAAGAAATATCAGCACAAAGGGCAATTTTCATCTACGAAATTGCAAGCAAGCAACAGTTTCACTTTATGTGTATGTTTCCTGAACTAAAGCAGCGGCCATCAGGGTGGAAGAGAGGCAGCCAGGCAGACACCCCCGCTGAAGGGAAGATTTTCAAGGTCTCTCGGGGGTCAGCTCCACTCCCAGGGCTCTACGCATCAAATATTATTTACTGGTATACTGGGTCTGCTTCCCCAAGTGGCAAAATGAGCCAACACTGAACAGCAGCTGCCCTTTTAGCCAGAGCAAGCTCCAGTTTGCCACCCCTGCCCCTACCACCACTCTCTGCCCTCTGTGAGCGGCTGTGCTCACTTACATTCTCTTCCTAATGCTGGTGGGCATTTAAGTTTGGGGCTCTTGCTCTACACATGGCTAACAAGACAGACAGGTTTTCTTCTGTATCCTTCTGTATCCAGCTGCTACCCTGTCATTTCACGGGAGGGCCTTTCTGCCTGTCTCACGTTTAGCTCCCTGCCTAGTGAGCTAGCACCAGCAGGGACCCCGAGGCCTTACTTTGTAATCCATGCCTTCACCGCAGTTGGTAACCACACAGAGCAAGCCCAAGGCTTTGGCCAGGTCCTTGGTGGTCTCGGTTTTGCCCGTCCCTGCTGGGCCAGCGGGGGCCCCACCCAGATACATGGATAGTGCCTGTTAGAAGCCAAAGGCAAAACAGTCACTTCCTGGCTCACGTGGTGTCATTTCCCCGTCTGGGACTATGAGGAGCGCAGACCATTCCCACGCACCTCTATGACCATTGCCATTTTTAACCTTTCTGTATTCTTCTGCTGACCTCCACCATCACACACACCACACCCCCTCCCTATTATCTGGGTCCCAGTGTACCAGAGACCAAACAGCCTGTGGAAGCTGTGCCTTCCTCGAGGGCAGTGCCACAGCAGTCCCCAGAGTGGAGGCTGAGGGACACACTGACGTCCATGCTGTTAATGACCAATCTTGCCCATTGCCTCCAGGTGCTAGGAGCTGAGCTTGGTGCCCTTGGAACACCCTACCTCAAAAGAGCAACCTTCTTTGACTGGGGAAACTTGGCCACAAAAATAATCCAACATTATCACTTAGGGCAGGAGCCTAGTAAGCTCCACCTGGAAGAGCCGGAATCCAAGGTCAGCCAGGTGGCAGACAATAATGTCTACACCGCCAGGCCTCAGTTAAAATCCAGAACACCGGGGCTAAGGTGAGCCCCCTGGGAGCAATGCTTCGTGCATACCGCACACGGAGGATGGACGGGACAAGAGCCATCCACACAATAGCACTGGGACAGAACAACCTGAAGCTGTTCTGGCTGCGCCTCTTCTGGTGCTGGTTTTGCTGGGATCCTAATGATGCTACCGTGCCTGAGTCCTTTTAGCAAATGGCTGAGCCTGAGGGTGGATCCAGGGGTGTCCTGAACCTGCAATGGCTCCGCCGCCAAAAGTGACAATTTTGTCTTATCACAAACTGAATCACCTTCACCTATTCTAGGACGATGATATTTGCCACCAGGTCTCCTCACATGACAAAGTCCCACAAACCGGGGGCTGAAAGCAACAGAAAACTGTTCTCTTGAAGTTCCAGGGGCCAGGCACCTAAAACCAAGGTGCTGGTAGAGCTGTATCCTTAGCAGAGTTTCTGGGGGGAGACCCTTCCTGCCCTGTCCAGCTCCCCACAGTTCCCAGTCCCTGGACTGGGGCTGTACCACCATCTACCCCATCTTCACACCACCACTGCCCCATCTTCACACCATCCACCTGGTCTCTGTACCTCCCCGCCAGTCTTTGAAGTTAGGCCCCATTGCAGAATGACCTCACCCCAAATCCTTAATTGGTGAAACGTAGCAAAGACTACATTCCCAGGCTCCAAGTGGCCATGGGCTCAGCCCACACACACCATACGCCTGCCACAGCTGTGCTGAGAGCAACGACAGCCCCAGGTGGGCGAGGCCAGCCACTGCTGCTCCCACCTGGGTCAGAGTCAGGTAGATGCGGTCAGTGAGGGGCGTGATGACCAGCCTCCCGTTCAAGCCCATGTACTCATAGCCATAGCTGAAGGTGCCCGTGCACTGGCGGATGTTCAGCTCGTCGGGCTCCCGGTCCCAGTAGAACCGGAGCTGACTTTCCCACTCAAATTCCCGGGCCTCGAGAATGCTGGCGGGTGAGAAAAGAGGAGTGAGTGAGGAGGAAGATGGACGCAAAGAGGGCGGGGGGGAGGAGCCCGGGAGGGCCTTGCCTGCTCCTGATGAAGGAGTCGACGATGTCCCTGGCGTGCACGTCGATGATGAGCACCGTGTTGTATTTCTTCCTGTCATTCCTGCTCAGGGGCAGGGTGATGCGTGTGACCAGCTCATCAATCTGCTGGTGGAGCTTCTTGCCATAGTTCTTCATGGCTTGCTTTTCCCCTGCCTGCACCTTGCGGAAGACGTCCTCCACCTCCCAGGTCCACCACACCTGGCTGGCAGCCAGCACCATCATCCCCTGGTACAGGAGCATCCAGTCGACTCTGCAGGGAAAGCCCATCCCTGTGAGGTTCTGCCCAAGGCTACCGCCAAGGCAGCACCATTGAGAATTGACCTCTGGGTTCCCCTGATTTATTTTAGTTTCAGGTCTCCCGGCCGAGTGTTTTATCCACTTTGACTCATTTGTGTTTATGGTGTGAGATAGTCAGCTTTCACATACACACTACTGCATAAGCTTTGCTGATGTTTTTGTGGATTTGTCTCCAAAACAAGAGAAAAGAGAATATAAACAATTGGGGCTATATCAAACTAAAATCTTCTGCACCATGAAAGAAATTAGCACCAAAACAAAAAGACCCTCCAAGGAGCAGGGGAACTACTTGCCCATCATACAAAGAGTGTGTAGCCAAGATCTACAAAGGATGTACACAACTCAATGAAAAGAAAACAAAGAACCCAATCAAAACACGGGCAGAAGCGCTAAGTAGGCTTCTTCAAAGAAGACACAGGAGGTCGCAGACACATGAAAAAATGCTCATCATCACTTATCACCCACTGGTGGGAAAGGCCCATGTCAAAAAGACCAGCAACAACAAGTGCTGGCGAGGATGTGGGGGGAGAGGAACCCCTCCACTGTCCGAGGGAACACAGACGGGGCCGGCCCAGCCCTCGTGGAAAAACGTGTGGAGGTTTGTCAAAAACATTAAAAATAGATCTGCCCGGGCCCTCCCTGGTGGCACAACGGGTTAGGACGCAGCACTGCAGAGGTGACCCACATGGCGCGGCAGACCTCTCCTGTCTCCCCGCTGCTCCCCTCAGCAGTGTACTTCATCAATCTGCCTGTTCCGCTCCCCACTCTGTCTCAGGTGAAGCCCCTCACCACCCCTGCAACTCTGGCTGTACCCCAGTCCTGTATGCATAAGTAATAAACAAATATATTTTTTTAAAAAATAGATCTGCCCTCTGACCCAGCAATTGCAAAAACAAGGATTACAAAAACACAAACTTTGAAGGAGCACCTGTGGCCCGTGTCCATTGCATGCTGCGTACAGCAGCCAAGCACGGAGCCAGCCTAAGGGCCCCAGGACAGAGAGTGGGTCAAGCAGAGGTGGTCCATGTACACAGGTGGATACTGTGAGGCTATTTTTAAAAAGATGACCTCTTACTATTGGCGACAGTGTGGGTGGAACCTGAGAGAGCAGGCTAAGCAAAGTCAATCAGAGGGAGAGAAACAATACCGATGATTTCACCCATCTGTGGAAGATAGAGTGAAGAAGGAGCAAACTTAAACCTAGACAAACCCTAGAAATCTGACTATAAATCAAAATTGCCAGAGAGGGAAGGAGAAGGGCGCGGGGGGAGTGGGGGCGCCCAAGGGACCAGGGTGGCTTTGTGGTATGGTGTGGGAATAGACATCTGAAGAGGTATAACCTACACCCATTGATCATATACAGTATTGTAAACCAGTGTCACCTCGATGAAAATATTGTGGGCCTCTCTGGTGGTGCATGGGGTTAAAGCACTGTGAAGCTATTCACAGCCACTGCAGCACAAGTTCAATCTCCCGCCAGTTTGCTGACCCACATGGTGCAGCCAACCTCTCCTGTCCCCCTCACTGCTCCCAATAGCAGTGTATTTCAGTCAATCTGCCTGTTCTGCTCCCCACCCTGTCTCTAGTCAACCCTTTCACCCCGCTCCCCACACCTCTGGCCTGTACTCCAGTTCTTGGATGTGTAAATAAATAAATCTTTTTAAAAAATGCAGGGCCTCCCTGGTGGCACAACAGGTTAAAGTGCAGCAATGTGAGGCTATCTGCAGTACCTGAGTTCTGTCTCAGTAGGGAGGTGACCCACATGGCGCAGCAGACCTCTCCTGTCTCCCTGCTCTCACCCCACCCCCTGCACCTCTGTCTTGTACCCCAGTTCTTGTATACATAAACAAATGAACCTTTAAAAAAAATTCATGGCCCTTTTGCAGCAACATGGATGGAGCTGGAAAAGATCATGCTTAGTGAAATAAGCCAGAAAGAAAAAGGAAAATGCTGATGGTTTCACTCATAGCAGGAGTATAAAGGACCAGGAGAGAACAGCTATATACCAGAGACATTTTACGGGGATGGAGTGGGGAATGGGATCAAAAACGGTGCGGGGAGGGAAATGCACTGGACTATGGTGATGGCACATGAGTGATTTGGTGATGGGAAGCCCATGGGATTACAACTGAGATGGAAAAGGCACAAAATGATGTAAAAATAAACTAATATATTTTTTTAATTGCATAGCAAAATTAAAATAATAAAGACAGATGTAGATCAGCTCACTTAACTAGAAGCCTCACGCGATGTCAGAAGGCCTGTTCCAACCCTTTAAAATTAATCCATTATGACTGTTATAGGATGAAGTAACACATGTTCACAGTGATGACCTCACCTGCTCCTATCTTCACAGTATCTGAAAATAGCCTCCTTGGTGATGAGCCTGTTTGTTCTTCGCATTTCGTTCAAAACAGCTGTCATCCAATCCTCCACTCGCCCTTCTGCTCTTATGATCTTGCGAAATTCCATGACTTCTCCTTCCGCTGAAATCATGGCAGACACTAGTTTCTCTCCATTGTCACCATCATTGAACCTCAGCAGCGCTATGTTGTCAAACATCTGAAAGACAGTGGAGAAGCTGCCTTGTGAGACTCACGTGAGGCTCTGGGCCCAAGAACAGCCTGTAGTGTCTCGTCACACATCAGAGCTGCCAGGGTGCCAGCAACAGTGACAGGTGCCCATTCACCCAGTTGTTCAGGTGTTTACTGGAATCTTTGGTGTATGCTGCACAAAGGTCTCTGCTGGATTTTTCTTTCTTTCTTTTTTTTTTTTTCAAGGGGAAAAAAAAAGACTCTCCCTACACTTGGGATTCTAGAGTGTTTGCTGGCGTGGCAAGGGATCTGGACGTGTTAGAGAGACCTGTGGCTGTAGTCCCCTGATGTCCTCCCTGGTAGCTTTGGGCAAGCCACTTCTCCACTCTCAGCCTGAAACAAACATAATTGAGTAATTTACAAGATGAGTTTGGAAGGATCAAATGAAAGAACATGCATGAAATGCTGATGCATTAAACACTCATCCTTGTTACTAATCGGAATAAAGTTCAGCAAAGGGAGTCCCTGAGGACCCACAATATAAGACCAGAGGGAGAGAGAAGATGGCGGACTGTAAAGAAGAAAAGCAGAGCTCTGCGGAAGGGGCTGTCAGTGAATGGAATACTTTAAAAAAAAAAAAAAAAGATTTATTTATGCATCCAGAACTGGGGTACAGGCCAGAAAGAAGATTCCACCAGAGACAGAGTGGGGAGCAGAACAGGTAGATCGATGAAGTACACTGCTGAGGGTCACCCTGTGGGTCACCTGCCTGGCCGGGGGTCAAACTCATAAAGTGGCTGCGGATAGCTTCACAGAGCGCCACCAGGGAGGGCCCGAATGGAATACTTCTGACAACATGTTTTTCTACAACAGTAAAACATTTGTTTATAAAAGTAGAGATGGAATATGAGCCTCTCCCTTGAGAAAGGAAAGCACACATTAACTAAATACATATCTGACTTTAAGAAGGACATCAGCTTTCACTAATGGGAAAATGTGGGTCAAGCATTTGCTTCTTAGGGCTTCATTGGTTGGGAATAAAAGGCTTATTCCAACACCCGGGCTCTCTACTGCTGATGATTTTGCTCCCGGTGGACAGTTGGCTCCATCTGGAGACATCTGTGGTGGTCACACTGCGAAGGGGTGTCCTGGTACCAGTGGTCGGAGGACAAGGATACTGCTGAACATCCCACAAAGCAAAGACATGCCCCCCCAAGCACACACGCACACACATGCACCCCAAAGAATTACTTAACCCAAAGTCGAGAGTACCCAGACTGAGAAGCCCTGACTCTGCAGTGCTGTCCTCAGCTAACCACAGGGGACTTCTGCACCAGCCCCTGACCCAAGAGCCAGTCCCCTGTGTGGTGTTTCCTGCCATCCACTACTGTTCACAGGAATAAACACTTTATATGAAAGTATGAAAATAAGAGCTGGGAGGAATCATAACCGACTCACAGTTACAGCTGTTTCTTGAAAGTGGAGGCAGAACTGTGTGTGGGGTGGGGAACAAAGAGTGCACCCCCTATGCCTGAACAGCTTTACTGTACAGAGACAGAGAGCACATACAAATAGATGGTAGCAAGCGTCACTTCTGGGAGGTGGAGGTGCCTACTGAGCCAGCATTTTATGGTTGGCCCTGTCTAAGTACCTACCGTAGAACAGGTAGGCATTAACTCACGCACTGTGCTTAACAGCCCCGTGGCGGCAGGTAACTGTTGGGATTCTCCTCATTTACAGCTAGGGAATGGGTACCCAGAGGGGTTGAGTAACTTGCCAAAGGTCACACAGCAAATTCATGGAGAGCCAGGCTATGAATCCGGGCCCCCGAGTCTATATGCTAAAGCACTCTCCTGCATCGGCTCTTTGCTCCCAAACATTGCCTGGGAGTATGTGGGATAAGGCTGCAAGTAGCAGCTGAGTCCAGGTGTAATTTCTGAGTGCAGTAAACAACTGGGATAAAACACATCACCAAGGAGAGCACCTGCGTGGAGGTTCCCCACACCCAGCCCACCTTGATCATATGCTCCTGGACACAGAGAGGGTCGCTATTGCCAAGGATGCTGAGCAGCTCATCATCGGAGATGAAGAAGAACCGGGGGAAGGCATTCCTCTTGGAATCCAGGTAGTCGTTCAAGCTCTTCTGGCACTTCTCAAGGCCCTCGCTGATGTTCTGCAGCTCAGTCAGGCGGTTTGGGGCCTCGCAGCACTTCTTGATGACCGGGTCCTTCAAGGTCTCTGCCATGATCTGGACAAGGCCAAGAGAGCGCTGTCACGAGGGGAGGAGAGCCCTGCCGTGCTCTGGGTGGGCATCCGCCAGGCCCCAAACCTTGGCACCTCACGAGCAAGCTAACGTTAGAGCTGTCATGGTGCATTGCAGAAAGGCGTTAAGGCACAAAGGCTTTAAGGCATTTTCTCAGGGGCCTCCCCTGTGGCCTAAGGATTAGCCTCAGCCCTTTGACCCCTACAGCCTGAGTTCAATCCCCGGCCAGGGAGCTGACCCACAGGGCACAGCAGACCCCTCCTGCTCCCCTGAGCAGTGTACTTCAGTGCATCTGCCTGGTCTGCTCCCCACTCTCTCTCTGGTGAACCCTCTCACCTCCCTCCCCACCTCTGATCTATACCCCAGATCCTCTACCAAAAAATTTTCTTCTCAGCTGTTTCATAATATGAAATATGTCCCTCATCATACAAAAAGAAAATTAGAAGACAAAAAAAAATGTGTAAGATAAAAAACTATCATAATTGCACTTTTAAACTTGCATATGTAGAAAAAGATAAAAGAAATATCTAACAGTCACATTAGTGGAGGGAGACATATTTCTTGTACTTTTCTATAGTTTCCTACCTTTTCAGATAAATTGCTTCTGTAATTAAATATATAGAGACATTGGCCCTCCCTGGTGGCGCAGCGGGTTAAATCACAGCACTTAGAAGCCTAAGCCACTTCCTCATGAGTTCGATTCCCGCCTGCCCCGGAAGTGACCACATGGCGTGGCAGACCTCTCCTGACCTGCCCGCTGCTCCCCTCAGCAGTGTACTTCAATGATCTGCCTGTTCTGCTTCCCTTTCTGTCGCTGGTGAAGCCTCTCACCACCCCTAATCCTTTGGCCTGTACCCCAGTTCTGAATGTACAAATAAATAAATCTTTAAAAAAAAGAGAGACATAAAGTTCTCTGCCATCGCCACAACAAACAGAAATTTGTACTGAACAGGTTAAGGTCGTAACAAGTGACAGAAAGAGTTCAGAAGTCACCAAGTGGTGAAAATGCCACCTGCAAACACAGCATGGCAGTCTGGCTCTGTCCCTCGGTCTCCGCCCAGACAGCAGCGGGCCACTCACCCTTTTGAACACCCTGTCGATGATGTCAAACTTCTTCGCCTCTTCCGGAAGCTGTGACCTGATGTCCCCACCAATGAAGATGCTCTCCAGGTACATCCACTTTCTCTGAACCAGCATCCAGATCTGCACGAGCACAGGCCTGTGTCAGTAGGCGGGGGGCGCCGAGGTACGACAGCAGAGCCCACCTGACTGACAGGCTCAAGTGAGCTCAGGCCTAGGGGCCTCCAGGCCTGCCGGCAGCAAGCACATACACATTTTCCTCTCCTTTCAAATGCCCAGAAAAGGCGGGGAAGGCCTAACTAGTTGTTGGTAAACACACAGCCATGCACAGCAAATCTTTCCACAGCAGCCAGGACAGAGGATGGGAGCTGGCCGTGGGCCCCACAAACAGGAAGAGGAAAGGGCAGGCTGAGCAGAAGTCCAGGCAGCAGTCAACACAGTGTTGTGACCCACAATTCCACGCCTGGAGACACCCCCAAAGAACTGAAAGCAGAGGCTCAGAAACAAACTGTACACATATGGGCCTCCCTGCTGGTCTGGGGGTTAATCGCAGCACTGTGTCACTGATGCTGCCTGTGTTCAACCCCCGGCCAGGGAGTGATCCACAGGGCACAGCAGACCGCTCCTGTCTCCCCACTGCTCCCCTCAGCAGTGGATTTTCCTGTTCTGCTCCCCTGAGGAATCCACTCACCCTCACACCCCTGGCTTGCACCCCAGCTCTTGTATTCATAAATAAATAAGTAAAATCTTTTTTAAAAAATACATTAATTGAAACAAAAACTTACATCAAATTCTATGGTCAGGCACTTCACCCCACCCCAGCCCCAGAACAAAGCCATAAAAAAGGGTTGCCCGTTTCTGAGCACAAGCATCTCATATAAAGACCCTTTCCTGCTATGAATTGGGCTCTCCATCGCCTTCCATTTGTCTTTTCTCTCACCTCAATGACCTCCCCTATTAGAGAAAGTGTCTTCTCCCATTTGTGAACAGTTTGCAGAAAGGGCCCCACAAATCTGCTCCCTGCAATGCTCTGCAGGTTGCAAGTGTTGTCGTCAAGGCCCTGGATAATGTCATCGACAGATCCCAAAATGTATCCTCGCTCCTGGGTGCCTTTGTAATACTTGACCACGGTGAATTTCATATTTTCCCATGTGTCCAGGATTTCCTTCACTGCCTGTTCAGGAAGACGGAAAAGAAGGTCTAGACACATGATCAAAACCCAGAACCCAACCCCAGCAGCTCCGAGCTCGCCTTCTGTCAACTTCCCAGGCGGAGCCCTGGCTGAGCCGGCCGAGCTTCTGCAACGCGAGCCCAGGGCTACTTGCTGGGCTCGGCCCGGACCCCTCAGTCTTCAAAACACCCTCGTGAGCTAAGGATTGTTACCCACATCTCACAGGGGTGGAAATAAGGGACTCGAGTTGCCAAAGCAGCTTTCCCAGTTCACTGAGCACCAGAACTAGGGCCTAAATTCCATGATATCCTGACCTTGCGTTGAGTATACTGTTACTCAAGAAAGCCAAATTACAAAATTATATGCCTATTTATTATTCCTGTTTAGAAAAACATTGATATTTATGTGCATCTGTGATATGGATGTGTGTGCATGTGTGCGGTGGTCATGCCCACGTGTGTGTGCCATGGCGTGTGTTTATGTGTGATTGTGTCTGCAGACAGGTGCATGTGTGTGTTGTGTGTGGATCTGTGTAGTGTGCATGCATGTATGTACATATACATGCATACAATGTACTTTTAAGTGTTCAGTGCTATACATTAAAATGTTAATTTTTTTCAGATAGTGGCATTATAAGTGATTCTTTTATTCTCTCAGTTTTCTACCATTAACACTCATGTATCTTGAATAAACAAATCAAGGATAAACTATAGTTAAGGACAATAAAAAAGCTAGCAGAGCTGAAATTCTATTTCTAGAGTAATAATTCTTTGTTTCTCAAGCACGACAGTACCAGAACAAATATGTTTCCCCTTTGAAAACGAAAAGTAATTTCCTTTTCTCTCAGGGATCTTATACCTAAAAAAGTCTCACCTTCTCAATGGCGATCTCCTTGATGGCTGACGTCACAATCTCATTGAGAACGTCCACGTGTTTGTGAAGTTCCATGGCAAACATATTTTCCAAGGTGAAAGTTTCCGTCATTTCAAAAAATACCCCTGTTTTTTCCATAAGATCTTTCCAATGCCTGAAAGGGCAACCACATCAAAGCCCATTTAGCTTTATGTTTATTGGAGTCAGTGGTGAATTTCATTATCCCTGCTTCAACCACAGCAGAGATCCTACTCTAAACACTTCTTGTGATGGAATTCTGAAATATGACATTGTGAGAATTAGATTTCCCAAGTTTTCCGAAATCCCACTGGCTGCCAGAATTAGGCCCAGGCACTACTAGCAAGCGCTCTCTGGCCAGACCTCCAACCAGCTAAAAAAATATGCAACTTCCAGTTCTTCGGAAACTGCTTCTGCCACAGTCTCTAGCCCAGGGTGTCGACCTCGGTGGGGCCTACCCACCCTTCTGAGGCCCTGGTGTAAATTATGAGCACACACGTGTGCATTTGGTGAGTATTTCCCAAGCGCCAAACCTGCGCCAGGTAGTTGGGGGACCCAATAGCTAACAGCAAGCCCTGGCCCAGGGGACCCGACCACCTTCTTGGCAGAAAGCGAGGGAGTGATGAAACCATCTAAATAGCTACACATCATCTTGAGGACAACATGAAAACTGCAGCGTGACAGAGGAGTCCGAGGCGAGCAGAGTCTGCCGGGCCGGCGCGGGTCCCTGGAGCTGGCGCGGACACGACACAGCTCTGCTCCCGCCCAGCTCAGCCTTCTGCTCAGGTCTGCAGTTGGCCTGCGTTTGCCTATTTTCATGGTCCTGCCTGTAGGGAACAGTTGTCACTGAGGAGGCCAATGAGGCCCAGAGAAAATGCCAGGTCGCCAGCGTGTGGGTAGCAAGCGTGGGGTCACTGACTTGTGCTGTAAACACATATACTCGTACACATAAGCAAAACGGGCAGGAAGGAAGCTCTTCTGTTTCAGCTCGCTCTATTCCTGGGTCCAGCCCACAAGCTGAAGGGTGTCACAGGCCAGGAGGAGGGCTGCTCACAGGACCCCCAGGTGACGCGTGGCTGGACATAGAGTCTCAGGAAACTGAGACAAGTTCCAGTGCCCTCCGCCCTCTGGGCCACAGCGGGGGACAGTCTCCAGGGGGACATCTCACTCAGCGCTGTTCCTGCCATTTGCCAGCCTCCTGCTCCAGGGCAGGCGACGGCCTGGAGTGCAACTTTTTTTCATTCTTGTGATTGCTATCTATTATAGCAAAAACTTTGGGCTTTCCATAATAAAGTGGCTTGACTTTTTTAGAGCACATGCCTTTAAGCAAAAAGAAGTGAGTTGCTAGGCCTCAGGGGTCCTGCTCTTCCTCGTAAGGGAGACTTAAGGGCACAGACAGGTGTTAAGGACATGAGAGACAGAAAGATTTTCTCATGGACACAATCAAGAAATGGCAGTGATTTTCCTGTGAAGCAGCATGAAGTCACCTGACCTCATGGTGTGTGACGGGTGGCAGGGGAGGGAGGGGCACCCCAGGGAGCATTCACCAGCTCCTGCTGGCTCCTGTTGAGGCATTGGGGTGCAACCGCAACCGAAGGAGGGGAGCCTCCTCCACCCGCGCGTCAGGTGTTGACTGCTCCCTCAGGAAACCGGCAGGTGGGCAGCCCCAGCCCCTGGGGGCTTCTGGGCTGCTGCCCAAGTCCAGACTGACACACACCCAGGGGGCAAAACTCATCCCTGGGAGCAGCAGCTTTTGTAAGGGGAAGATGAAATGTCTCGTGGATCATGTTTGACAACAATTATGTGTTGAAATGATTGGGTTTTATTTCTTTAATTACGGAAATATATTTAATCATTTGATTAGTAACAGTAACAATTTTACTGTTTAATGTTTTCAGTACTTCTGCCAGGAAATTTCATTTCTGTTTTTCTGGGGGAGGCACCCAGCTCATTCTGAGGCCTTTTCAAGGTAGAACAAAAGCACATACACACACCCCCAACACCAACACCAGATACAGAGGCAGCCAGAGAAGAAAGCTGCTGGAGAGCTTCACAGCAAAGTGCCACCTACCGTCACGGCCCATGGGACTCATGAACACACGGGCCACACTCGAGTGTGCCTGCCTGAGGAACAGCCAAATCCATCACTGAGAGGAAACGGCGAACTTTCGAGAAAATTTAAAACACCCACCTGGGAGGCATCTCTCTGCTGGATGGAGCCCAACAGAACCCTGACAACTTTTTCTTTCACTTCAAATGAAGCTACTCTCTCTGCCTCTTTTTGTTGTTATTGTTGCCGTTTTGTTTTTGTTTTTGTTTTTTTTTTTAAAGATTTATTTATTTGTGCATACAGAACCAGGGTATAGGCCAGAGGCTCAGGGGTGGTGAGAGGCTGCACCAGAGACAGAGTGTGGAACAGAACAGGCAGATCGATGAAGTACACTGCTGAGGGGAGCAGTGGGTGGGTCAGGAGAGGTCTGCCACGCCATGTGGTCACCTCCGAGGCAGGCGGGAATCGAACTCATGCGGAAGCGGCTTTAGATTCTCAGTGCTGTGCTTTAACCCGTTGCGCCACCAGGGAGGGCCTGTTGCCGTTTTTTAATAGTGGTGGATCATTTTATAGGAACTATACAGGCTAGCCCTATTCAAACTATCACTCGCCTATTCCTGGCCCTCTACTACCCATCAGACCTTATCCTACCTCGTCACACCTAAGCGCAAGTATCTCACACCCCTGAATGCTGCCACAGCAGCCTGCAGGGGCAAAGCACACCTGTCTCGAAGGGCCTCGTGTTTCAAGTCCAGAAGTAGAGGGATGGAGTCTTTGAACGCCTTCATCTTCATCTCCAAATGGTAGGCCACCGAGAGGTTTCGGACTTGCCGGGGCAGTTTTCGGAGGTTCTTGAGAAACCCCTCGATGCCTTCCTGGAGAAACTGGACGTTCAGGTTGGCCCAGAGGGTCTGGGACCACTCTTCTTTTGCTGCCTGGAAAAGGACAAGAAAGTGTCCCATCAACATGGCCCTGGGCCCCCAGAAAGGGCCTTGCTGTCCCTGGAGAGTGACTTCTTAACTCTGTCACCTTCACACCTTCTAGGAAGGGGTCCCCCGCTCCCAGACACCTCAAACTCACAAGGAAAGGATGGAATGCAAGCAAAGAACCCCAACTTTTGAAAGCTGTCACAGAAGGTAAGTTGAGTCTGAGGAAGTATAGAATTCAAGTGACACTTTCCTGTCCTTCAGAGAGGCGTGAGGTGCTTTTTTCAGAGGGCAAGGGTGCTTTTCAGTCCTTTCAGTATTTTAAAGCTGTATTGAATGGAATCAACAATTCTGGCCCTTTTAAAAAAAACTAAGTTATGTCTATGGAGAGAACGTGGATTGACAACACTACATGTGGTTTAGGGGTGCAGGGTGTGTTACTTCTCCTCGCCCACTACCAGCAGCTGAGGGACATGTCTTCATTCACATCCAGGTGCAATTCAGGCTGAAAGTGTATTCTTCATTTGGGGGTCCCCTTTCTCAGTGGGGTCCTCTTTACTGGTGAAAGGTGAAAAGATTTTTCAGAGACGCCCACCTTGAGCCCATTGTAGAGCTCATAGACCAGCCGCAGCCCCTTCATCTCCTTCTGCACCTTGAGCAGCTCGGGGTACATCGTGATTGGGAGATCAAAAAGCTTCTCCGCATTTGCGAGCTCCTGGCGGTTCTTTTCATGTCTGGTCAGCTCTCTTTCAAAAGTTGCTAAAAGGTCCATTCCTGAGAGATAAATAAATAAATGATTGAGCAATAGAGATCGATGATAGAGACAAATAGATGGATGGATGGCTCTGTGGGTAGGTGGGTGGATGGATGGATGGACAGCATCATCCAGTTTCAGATAAATAAAATGAGAAATCGTAGACAAGCAATTGCATAGACGCCACCTGGGCAGGCCATCTAGAACTACCAGCCTCCGGGCTGGCTCCATCTAGGTGCTCCCCTGGTCAGAAACTGACTCCATCACCCTCCTGTGAAGCAGGTTTGCCCTGGGCTGCACACCTGCGCCCCCACAAGGGATTTTTCAATTGTGACGTGCAGACTGCCCTCCAGAGTAACAGAACCAGATGGAACCTGGGCCCCAGGCCTTGGGGGTGTTTCCAGGCCCCCAGGAGCCAAAGGCACAGGTGGTTGACCTACTGCCCCACTGCATCAGAAGCCTGCCCCTTCCTGACTCCTGAAAACAGCAGCCAGGTGCTGGGCTATGGCTGCGGCCCCGCCACCTACCACCAGCTGCTCATTTCCACATGTCCCATGTCATTTGCCCAGACCCCGTAAGTCTGTCTAGCCCTGGGTTCCCAGAAAACCTTTCCAATCACCTCGAGTTTGTCCCAAAAGCATCAGCTCCTCCAAATATCTGCGAGGTGTTGTACAAAGTGCATCTGCCATGCACTGGCATTTACTGAGCACCTGCTGTATGTCTGTCTCCACACTGAGGAGTTTACAGTCAAACACACAGTCCCCAGGGAGGGGGAGAAGGGAGAAGGAAGGATAGGAGGGAGGGCAGGACGGGGAGGAGCTGGGGCGGTGCTGACACTTACTGAGGACCTGAAATGTGGCCCCAAATGTTCTAAGCCCTGTGCTCCCCACCCCCCCACCCCACCCCTGGGCCACAGCCCCTCGCTCCCCCTCCCACCCAGTGACCTGTGGCTGAGCTGAAGGACTAGGGCCCCCAGCAGGATCAGCCTGAGACTCAAGGCCAGCAGAAGTGGCTTCCTGTTGTAGGAGAGGAAGGGTGACCTGGGCGAGACCTAACATACCTCTGTGCAATCAGCCTTGGGCCCTGGGTCTGGTTCTCCCCTGGGCAGAACCCCATGAGCATGAGTGCAGGGAACAGACTGGTTATTTCTCCAGACCTCATTTCTCCCAGAAACACTGGGCCTTGGAATGGCCCTCTGAGTCTTGGTAGGTCTTCTGGATAGAGGCAGTCACCTGTCTGCTGCAGATGGAATGAATGATGTCCCCGTAGCCGCCACCTGGGGGTGTGACTGCGCCCTCTGTCCTCAGGACCCAACCTCCCCACCTTTGTGAGGCAGGGCCTGTCCCATCTGGGTGCAGGAGAGAAAGCTGCAGCCTGGAGGCCTGAAGCAGGTGGCCCAAGGCCACAAGGCTTATAAGGGACCTCCAGAGGTAAGACCTCCACCCACATTGTTAGGGGTGAGGGGAGACTGGGTCTGAGCTGACCCCCATGTGCCACCCACCACCTCTTCACTGCCTCTTTTGAGAACCTCACCATAGACTGGCAGCCCTCCTAACACTCTGACCTCACACTCCACCCCCAACCCCTGCTCCATGCGACTGTCCACATGTGCCCCAAGCCACCCGTGTTGTGCTGTCTCATGGATGTGCCAAATCCATTTAGAAAGGGGGGTGGGGGGTAGCCTTCCACCTTTTTACCCTCTAGGCCTGTGTTACTGGGAGGACAGAAGACAAAAAGTGGTCAAGGATTTAGTCCTCAGAATACATGTACCAAAGGAGTTAGCATGTTATTGCAAGGAGCTGGAAGAAATGGGGTTCATTGAGGGGTGTTGGGGCTGAGCTGCTGCAGAAATTGCACCTCCCCAGGGTGGGGAGCCTGGCCCAGGTTGATCTCCTCAGCGCACTCTCATAGCCAGTCCTCGCACCCAAGGGATAAAGCAGCCTGGTTTCTCATATATGCAAACACTGATCCAAACCAAGAAAAAAGCTTTTGAGGGAAAAAACATGTCTTGCAATTACAGCATCGTCACACTCACCACTAAATTCCTAAGCAAATGTCCTCAGCTTCTGTAGTAAGACCAACATGAACATATGAACATTCTTACCTCTGTCAAGCTCGTCCCCAACAGAACCAGGCCCTTCGTTGTAGAAGCGTTTTGCAAAATCCTCTATCTGACGTCTATAATTGGATATTTCACCTCGAGTAATCTGAGAAAAAAGCAGAGTTGAGTCAACTTAACCTGTGGTTATTTTTAATCATCTTCACTTGGAAAGTAAAATGTAGAAGGTACCTCAGTGAAAGTCCTCTTTATGCCCCCAAGAGCGTGCTCCACAGTCATCGATTCATTAAGCAGATTTAGCCACATGCTCTCAATCACTTTAACCCGTTCTTTCTCTGCATCAGACGGCTAGTAAAAGAACAAAAAATTAATGATCAGTGATTTGGAATTAAAATTTGGGGGAACTTCTGCTTAGGGGACCAGCAGATGAGGTTGCTTGGAGCAATAAAAGAAAAAGTTGGTTTAATTATAAAAATTATATTAAAGTAATTTTATTACATTAACTAAAGTAAAATCAGTATTTTTATATTTTTTATTTATTAAAATTTTCCCTTATAGCATTGTAGTCTCCATAGTTCTCCTGCCTCTGTATCTCACAATAGCCAAGGTATGGAAACAACCCAAATGCCCCAAAGTAGACTATAGGATCAAAGAGTTGTAGTATATCTCTACAATGGAATACTAGTCAGAGATAAAAAAAAAAAAAAA